GCAAAGTCAAGATAAAGCTACCCCATAGAAGATGTTTCATGGCCAAAGATGAGAGTCCTCGAGAAGATTGGAGAATTTTGTTATGGGGATGAGGAGGGTAATGGTTGAATCTGTGGCCTCAATTTGGAGAATAAATATTCATTCTAAGTTCAACTCAGTGTCTGTATCTCCACCTACATTAGATTGAGAAAGGCAAATAGAAAGAGATTATCATAGGAAGATGCCTCCAGGTAGGGGTGTGGCTTGACAAGTGCTTACCTCCAGATGTGGAGGAAATATTTTTCAAGAAGAATAAAATGTGAGCTTTGGCTCCTTTTCCACCTCCAGCTGGGAGACATCATCAAACCCAGGAGGAGGACACATGAGAGTTTACTAAACTGTTAGAGGTGATATGTGGCTAGCATGAGAGTTTAACCACACACCTAAGGAGGAGTTTATTCCCACCATTAACTTCTCTATGGGTGTTTGTCAGATGCTCATGGAAATACTGGAGGCGGGTTTTAGGACTGTAGAAAGCCCATCTCCAGCTGTGTAGACATGCAGCCCTGCTTAGACACGTACTCTGATGAATGCAGTCCTTCAACCACTGGAGAAACTACATCATTCTCTACTTCAGGGCCCTGGTGAAGAGCTACTGTGGCTTGAGAAGACAAGAAAAATCTATGTCCATCTTCTATACCCATGGGAGAGTGGTAAGAAACTGTCCTAGGCAGAGATGGTAAACAATCTCTGTTAAAGAAGAGCAAATTCACTGAGAAATCCATATGTTTGATATTTAGGAACACACCCTCCTTAGTCAGACTAACACTATATCAACCATTCTTGGGTACCACCTCTAAGTGATCAGATATTAATTATCAAGTCAGAAGACCTCTATGAAGAGCAGGTCTGAAGTTGAGGGTTGAGAAAGACATCAAGGCAACTCTCTAGAAACCAGCCCTTGCAGAAACATGCTAGAATAGTGATAACCCCTGGGAGATGTAGAGGAGATGCCTCAAAGCTTTATTTGTTTACTGCCTTTCCTTCCTCTGTGTGTAGAATTGCTCTCAGGATCTTCAGTGTTGTCATAGTTGTCATGATTTAAGTTTGTGTTTGTTATGGAAGGCTTTGGGTCTCCATCAATTTTTAAAGATAATTTGGCAAGCCTAGGTAGCAATTATTTGCTTCAGGGTTTAAGTTATACCATTCTATGCTTTTTATTTTATTTGTTCACTTGTTTATTTTTATTTATTTATTTTTTATTTCCAGAGTGTCTGTTAAGAGGAGTGGTATAATTTTGATGAGTTTGCCTTGTTAAGTAAGTAGACACTTTCTTTTGTAAGCTTTTAGTGGGCTTTTTTTCTATGTCCTGAAGTCTTTTAATCTTTTTAGATTATAATGTAATTATATCGTTTCCCCCTTTTCATTCTTGCCTCCAACTTCTCCATATATGCCTCCCTTATGTCTTTCCAATTCATGGCCTTTGTTTCATTAATTTTTGTTACATACATATGCACATATGCCTATACCTAAATGCATAAACACAACTTGCTCAGACTGTGTAATGTTACTCCTTTGTTTTCAGGGCTGATCATTTGGTCTGGATAGCCAAATGTTGTGCTCTTCCCTGGGTAATACTATTCCCCTGCTCTCAAAATGACTTAGTTGCATCTTTGCTTTTAAACAGTCTGGTTACATTACAAAAATGGAATAAAGACTTTTAGAAGCAAACCACACTAGCAGACTCTAGCAGAGAGAACATCTCCTAAGTGAAAACAGGTTTCTCTCTTCCACAGTTCTGGGACTGTTGGTCCTAAGACAATGCAGAACTGTTATTTTCTCTCATGTGTGGAATCCAGATTTGTTTGTTTGCACATGCCTTTGTATGTATGTGCATGAGTGTGTGTGCATGAAAAGGAAGAAGAAGAAACAAAACAACGAGAGAGAGAGAGAGAGAGAGAGAGAGAGAGAGAGAGAGAGAGAGATGACAGTAACAGTAGATATGGGACCATGATAAATAAGGAAGAGATCCTCAGAAAGATGAGCTAATAGAACATCCTGTGACCTGGACTGACCCAAGGTTTTCTCTTAGGCATGATGTATGCACAAGAAGCAGAGCTCTTTGTACTGGCTGGTTTTGTGTTTCAAATTAACAAGCATGAGTCATCAGAAAGGAAGGAGAAATTCCTTTCTGTTGAAGAAATTCCTCAGTTGAAGAAATTCCTCCATGACATCCAGCTATAAGGCATTTTCTCAATTAGTGATCAATGGTGGAAGGCCCAGCCCATGGTGGGTGGTGCTATCTCTGTGTTGGCAGTCCTGGGTTCCATAAGAAAGCAGGCTGAGCAAGCTAGGAAGGCAGCCATTAAGTAGCTCCCCTTCATGGCCTCTGCATCAGCTCCTGCCTTCAGGTTCTAGCCATGCTTGAGTTCCTGTCCTGACTTCCCCAATGATAGACTATGATCTGGAAGTGTAAGCCAAATAGACCCTTTCCTCCCCAACTTGCTTGTTGGTCACGGTGTTTTGTTGCAGGAAGAGAAACTATAGCTAGGACACTCTTTCTCTAAACCAGGGGTGTGTTTGGCAGAGCCAGTAATAGCCTGAATCCAGGACCTTGGGAGCTTTTCCCTGAGGCTGTCTTGCAGGAGAATGAACACAGTTACTTATCTAAAACCAGGAACACTCTTAGCAGAGCCAGTAATGTTCTGGAGCTAGGCCCTCAGGGGAGCTGTAGCTTCAGATCCTGGGAACCCAGCTCTTCCCACGACACAGGGCTATAATTATCAGTCCCAAGGCTGCTGTGTGCTTGATCTATAAAGCTCTTGAGACACCCTGTGTTCCTCTTATGCAACATTGCTTGATTGACTTCCAATTAACTTCTTCTCATTTTATGATAGTTTCTGTCAGCTCTGTTCCATTCCTCTCCTAGAAATAGTACATAAAATGCTGTACTTTTTGCAGGGGGGGGGGGCGAGTTTCGAGACAGGTTTCCTCTGTGTAGCTTTGGAACCTATCCTGGAACTCGCTCTGGAGACCGGGCTGGCCTCGAACTCACAGAGATCCGCCTGCCCCTGCCTCCCGAGTGCTGGGATTAAAGGCGTGTGCCACCAATGCCCAGCAAAATGCTGTACTTCTTAATAAACTTGCTTGGCATAAGTTATAGCTTATGTAAGACATCTTGAACCCACCTTTTTTATGTCCTAACTCTGATACCCCTGGACCTTCCTCCTCAGGACCCTGTCACTCAAGAATGACCTAATGGTCCAGTTCAGGAACCCAAGTGACATGAAAGCACAGGGATGAACTAGCTGGAGGATCATGAGAACATGCAAGATGGGAATGTGAGGACAGAGTAGGAAATGGATGAAAAAGAAAAATGTATAATGCTGTATTTGTGAAAATGCCAGATGAAATATGCTTTCTACAAATCAGTTTTTTAAAGATAGACCCTTAGGCAGAACAGAAGCCTTAGCCAATAGTTAAATTAGGAAGTAATGATACATATGTCACCTTCATTACATGTTAGCAGTGGGGAAGAGTTCAGCCTCTCACCTGAAAAGACTAAGCTCACAGGCACCTGGGGCCTAGGCCTGAAGGTTTCTTTCCTAATTTCATTCCTGTAGAAGGAAATGCCAGACATTTAGGTAAATGTTCAAAGAATGAATGGATAATGGGTAGGCAGAATTAGACTATGGAGGGATAATTACTGTAGAAAGGGTCTGTCTCCTTCAAAGTAGTGATCTCTCTGACTTTAAAGGCCAACAGAGGTTGAACATTTAACAGGAGTATTGCAAAGGCAGTATGTAGACATTAGGGGCACTGGATAAAGTGTAAATAAGGTTGGTTCCAAATATGGGCCTAGAACTCTAGGAAGCACAGGCCCAGCAATGCTGAGAGATGTGTCCAAATCTTGGAACAGAGATGTTTAGAAGCCTTGAGTTGTTCTAAAATCTCCCATCTTTTTCCGGGGATGCCAGATCAAAGCTTTCCCTGCCTAAAGGCATCTGCCTGCTATGCTAGTCTCTGCCTTTGGGAGGCCCACAGAACACTGAAGTTTGACTGGCACAGGGACAAACCTTATGTAAGAAGTCCTTGGATTAGTTTATGGGTCTCTGTTATCTGAGAGTTGGGCAATGACTGTGCAAATTAGAGTGCAGAGTAGGTGGGTGTGGCTTACAGGTCCTTCCCACTAGACACCCAGAGAGCTCTTGGCAGGGGATTTTCAGCTGGCTATCTTAAGCAAATTGGCAGAGTGGGCAGGATTTCAGGGGTTGGTCAGTAGCTGTGAGACTGGTTCAGTGCACTCCCTCCAAGCACCAGGCACCTCACTAGACCCCAGAAGTGTTGCCCTTCCATGATGTGGCCCTGTGCCTTGGTCCTGATCTCTTTCACTGCTTGCCTAACTCAGGGTGAGTACTTATGAGTACATATTTGAAATTCTTTTTCCTAGGCCTTGGTGAGTGCAGGCTCATGCAGGGAATTGAAAAACAGGCCCCATTTCTTAGCGGTATTTGCCCTTTGGACATGGACAGAAAGTGTGAGTGAATCTAAGCACAGTGCCCTGGAGCTTTGTGTCCTTGAGTGAGGAATTTAACTTCTCAGTGGCAGCTCCTTCTCCATTGGGCTGCAGTTGGTGTGAAATGAATAATTGTGTCTGTAGCATTCTGAGTGGTGGTTGGTCTAGAGGAAGTATAGAAAGGGGGGGTTAAAATAGAGCATGTCCATAGAAAATTTGACATAAAGAATCATCAAAGAGCTGCATTTGAAAGGATGATTTTTTTTAGAGTTCCCCTGAAAAGGAGTACATCACTGAAGCAGGATAGAAAAGGAAGCACCGGGATCATTTAGAAGGCTGAGACCGGATGGAAGCTATGGGAAGGGTCTTTGTCATGGTTTACCGCCCCAAGAAGAGAGGAGGCAAGGGAAAGTGGTGTAACCTTCAATAGTTGGTGCAGTTTCAGGGAATTTGAGGATTTACAAGCTGTGTCTATTTTAATTGTACCTAATTTTGTGTGGTCAAGATGGGTTAGTGGAGGCACAGGCTAGGGTACCCAGGTAAGTGGGTTTCTGAGGATATGGTTCTGGGGTTGTTGGACCCTAGGGGATGAACAGGGTCAAAGCAACAGGTATAAGAAACAGATCCATGGCTAGTACAAGGGGACAACCTGGGACCTTACTACCCATCTGTGTCACTTGAAGGAGGGAGACCAAGGCTTTCAGGGGAATGTACTCACCCAAGGCCTCCTGGAATCATACCTTTCTCTATCTCTATCTCCAGAATCTACAGCAGTGCTTTCCCCACTCAGGGTCATGGTCTTGCTGAAATTTCTAGACTTTCCTTCTGTTTGGCTGTGTGACTCTGTGAGAGGCAGTGACACAGTATGAGCAGAATGAGAAAGGGTTCAAATTTGGAGTAGAACATGTCTATGCTGCTGATTGCCCAAGCACCTCCCAATGACCACCTAAATTCTATCTTCAAGAAGTTCATCCAGTGTGCTTGCAACTGCTGTTTCTTCATCTTTAATATAGCCTTGATAACTCCTCCTTAGCAAGGCTTTTTAAAAGGAGCATTGGTATGTACTTGTAGCACACAGTACGTGATCCATATGTGCAAATCCTATATTATTTAAGCAACAGCTATATTTTTGTTCGAACTTCCATCCCATCCATCCTATTTTCTACCCAAAGCAATCTAGATTTTTTCTCACTTCATTTGGGTAGAAAATACTCATTGAGTTATATAGGCTTCACCTAGTGGTTTCTGTCTGGTTTCTCCCTCTCCTTAGGACTCTTACTAGTCCCTACATCCCTTCCACATGGCCTTCCATCTACCACCACCCTGCTATGTGTTCTCACTCAGCATGTGTATCCTCATGTTCAGGTAATGAATTCCACCTATCATCCCTCACTGACCTTCTTCCAGCATTAAAATTCCCATGTCTGTCAGCATCTTCCTGCTCAGAGGTCCTCCAACTGTACCTACTTTATAGGGAGCCAGCAACACTCACTTGTTCTTCTGTTTTCTTTCTCTTTAGGGCCCATAGCTAGTCATGGATCAAGTCTGCCTTTTAATGTTCCCCATATACATCTGCAGATTTCTGTGTAACTAAGTTCCCTGATTATAGAACACTTTATTCTAGTATAGACCCTGGGAATTCACAGGAAATAATAATTCTGCTACCCATGGACATTTTAACAAGCTTGCTGCTCAGGAAAGATATCTCAGTGGAACTAGTGACCTAAAAGCAAAGGGAACAAGACAGGGATTTTTCTCTTACTAAACCAATGCATGGACATGATTTTATAGTGTGATTCTCCATAGAGTTTCAGCATTCTTGGCTGTTGGCTATTCTTGATAGCAGATGCTCCCAAAGTTATGACAGGCTTATTCTATTGATATTGAAGGTAAAGTATCACAAATCAAAACATCTTAAGTTGGAGATCCTTGGTGGATACAAAGAGGACAAATGAGAATTTAAGAAGTAGATGGGGAAGGACTGTGCTGGGCAAGATGGAATCAATGAGTGTGCAGAAGCCTGATGCCCCATCTTTCTCTCTCTGAATGATCATGCTTAAAGTTACGAAATGGATGTTCTAGAACCCTTGTCATGTTCTCACTCCCATAGCTATTTTATTCTATTTATTTGTCTACTAATTAAATCCCTGTGGCCAGATTCAATGTCCTTCCTGATGTGCATCCAATAATACAAGACTATTTTCTACTCCCTTTCAGCTACACTTGGTGGTATTCATAAGCCATCTTCTCGTCTCAGAAATGTCCTGTGTTATGCTGTCTCCAAGCCTCTGCACTTAATGTTTCATCTTGCTTAATACCCTTCCCTCGTTGCTTCTAATTTTAGTACTTCCTTCCTATCCCTCTCGCAAATTACAATGTTTTTCTTACCCAACTTAAGTGCCTTTGTCTTTCTTATGATGTCAGACTCCCAAGGATATGGTCACCCTCATTCATTGTCTCATCCAGCATGCAGTTCATATTTTCTTTATTTTACATGCAACAAAACCATTGTTTAGAGGGTTGAGGTGACTTATTCAAGGCCATAGACCTAGAAAGTGACAAAGCCTGCCTGGAATCCAAGTCCAGCCTTTCTTTTCTAATCTGTCCTCATTTTCCCCCATGGTCATCAGGACACCCGTCCTCACCACCTGTGGTGGACACTGTTCATGGTAAAGTCCTGGGGGAGTACGTCCGCTTAGAAGGATTCTCACAGCCAGTGGCCGTCTTCCTGGGAGTCCCCTTTGCCAAGCCTCCTCTTGGATCCCTGAGGTTTGCTCCACCACAGCCTGCAGAGCCCTGGAATTCTGTGAAGAATGCCACCTCCTACCCTCCTTTGTAAGACACTGGGGCCCTATTTATGGACATTGTCCTTGTAAATATGAGCAATATCTTTCCAACTGTCTTATCTCCCTCTTTGTTTGCTGTGTAGACATCATGACCAAGGCTACCACAGGAGAAAAAGTTTATTAGGGATTACAGTTTCTGAGGATGAGTCCATGATCATCATGACAAGGAACATGGTAGCACTCCAACAGGAATAGTGCTGAATGTTCATATCTTAAAACAACAACCACAGAGCAGAGCTGGGGAGCTAACTGGGAATGGTGTGGGCTTTTGAAACCTCAAGCCTGTCTTCAGAGACACACCCCCTCCAACAAGGCCACACATCCTAGTCCTTCCCAAACAGTTTTAATAACTGGGTATCAAGCATTCAAATGTGTGAACATATGGGGGCCATTCTCATTTAAACCACCACACTGACAGATTGTCTAGTATCTGTGCCTCAGGTTTTTATTCTATGAATGGGGACAATAATAGATGTCTTGGGTTGTGGCCCTTAAATGACTTTTATCAATAAAGAGTAAGTGCTTGCATGCTTGAAGGACTCCAGAATTGCCATCAGTTTAACTCTGCATTGAGCCTTTGAGCTTTCTTTTCAGGGGAGCCACAGTGATTGTTGGGCTATGAAAAAGGCAGAATCTTAGCAGGCCAGGGCAGTAGGACCCTTAGAGTCAATACCGTTCCCTGGACCTGGCATTTTGAGTCCTACTGGAGGAAATAATTTACCTAATGTCACCCAGCATATTAGTGATTGAAGAAGCACAACCATGTAGTTTCCCTAAGTGTACTCATAAAACACAGTTCCTGACCTGTACAGTGTATGTATTTGTCATTAGAAGTAGTACCATTGGTTGATAAAAGTGCCCCAAGGATCAGAAGATGTTTACCTCATGGAGTGCCATGTCACCCTTCAACCAATGTATGAAGCCCAATAGAGGCTTAAACATGACATCGGTCCAGGCAGGCGATGATATATTCAAGGACAGGCCAGCATGTGAGCTCTTCTCTCCTGGGCCTAGGATATCCAAAGGCTCAGGGAAGGAGAAAGGTGTCAAGTTCTTCTCACTCTGCAGAGTTCGAAGGCACTAGAGAATCTAGAAGTTACTCCAGGAAGCACAGACTTTCTTACACATGGGTGCCAGCTTCATTAACAAGTGTAAACCTCCTAGTGCAAGGTTGAAGGGAACTCAGGTGTTCTCTCCCTCGCAGGTGCTCCCAAAACCCAGAGGCAGCACAGATGATTGCAGAGCACTTCACCAACAGAAAGGAGACCATTCCTCACAAGTTTTCTGAAGACTGTCTCTACCTAAATATTTACACTCCTGCCGACTTGACCAAGAGCAGCAGGTTGCCAGTAAGCATGGGGACCACTGGAAGGGGATGAGGGCATCTGGGAGCAAGAACACCACAGTCTAGGACTGAATCCAAACCTTCCGTTAACCACCAGAAAAGCAAAGGTTCCTTGCCAGTCTGTCGGAGTACATCCCGACCCTCAGTTGCCCAGCATCTGAGAGAACACATCGTATTCTTCCAAGCTCTCTCACGTTAACAAGGACAATGATGTCAAATGTTAGCTACTAGAGTGAGAACCTGATCCCAGAGCAGCTAAGATGTAATTTCAATAAACTTAAGCTGAAAAAAAAAAACCTTGATTTTTAAATATTCCATGTAATAGTTTACTCGAGAGAAACTGATGTTCTGGTGGAGGGAGCTAGGGCCCACAGTGGGTAGGCAGGGCAATAGCATGGGTTTTTCGACCTTTAAAACACAAAACAAAACAAACAAAAAAACTGCTGTTTCATAAGAAGTAGCAAAGGTAGCTGGAATGTCACTTTTCTATCCATAGTGGCTGTGTTAATTTACATTGGCCTGTGACAAAGGTGCGAGAGGAGGAGCTGGGGGCAATTAGAAGCGCCCTCTTTTGCCTCTTGTCAGTAATCCTTGTTTTTATTGTATCATTGTTATCAGTAACTGCCTTTGGCATGGGCTGATGATGCAGTGAGTCAGCATTTCCCACATAAATGATGGGACCTGAGTTGGGACAGGCTGCCGTTTGTCAGCCAGTGTTTGGGCAAAGGGCTCTTTGGGAAAGAGTCGATCCCTGGGGTGTAACAATTCAAATGCCAACTCTCTGTCAGTCTCCATGGACATGACAGGGGAGAAGAGATTTTGAAATTGGGAGTAATATTAGACCCTACTCATGCTTTTCAGAGTACAGGAAAGTGGACACAAAAGTTCTTTCACTCAAACTCTGATTTCTTCACCCATTTCTTTTGTATGCAGTGCTCCAAACACAGCCATAATGCAGTTAGGGAAAGCAGGGACATGTCATTCTCACCCAGCCTGTCTTGAAGGACCTGGCCATCTCACCATCATAGTCTTACAATCTGCTCAGTGTGCCATTGCTCACAAGCCCTTGCCTCCAGCTTTCATTATGAGATGGCCTTGACTTACTTGCTACTGGAGCTGGCAAAGAACTTGGTTGTGTGAACAAGGGAGTAGGGGCTCTGGGAACCTAGAAGCAGGAGAATCTCTACTTATGACAGAGGTCCAAGAGCCAAAATTATGGTCTGGGGTTTAATTCAGATCCTGCCTTTGTCTCCTGCTCCAACTGCTGGCTCACTATGCTGTGGCCATAGGTAGCAGGGATTTGGAGTTCAGTGTACAGTGTTGGGCCATGTGGCTTGGGCAAACCATGCTATTATATCTTATTAGCTATCGAATTCCAGCAGGCAAAGTACTCTTGTTTCTTAGCCGATGCTGGAAAATTATTCTCTACTCCATGTAAATGTTATTTCTTCTGCTTAGTGCAATTCTTGGTTTATAATATACATTATGATTTCTTTTAAACAAATAGGATTTTGTAAACTCTCATTTTTCCTCTGCTCTATAGGTTAACACACACACACACACACACACACACACACAAATTGCAAATTTTTGCATCCTTTTACCTTTAAGTTTTATCAATCTTTGGTACACAGTAGTTTCTTAAATAATGTTAACCAAAGTACTAAAGACATCCCAGAGGAAGTAGCAGTGAGCTAGGCTTAGCAGGGTGAGAGGATTTGGGTGTGTTGAGGAGGCACTGTAGAAGCAATACCATCAGGCTGGTATGCTCCTCATCAGATAATTACTTCCCAACAGAAGTTTAACTTACCACTGAAAGCTTAGTGGTATGAAATGAAGTGGCAGTCCAAGAGCTTCCTCTTTTTTCTATGTTCAGTTGGCTGAACAGTCCAGGCATGAGGTCATGGGATTGTGGGAGAGAAGACAACATCCTTAGTTCTTGCTGTTCTCATGATGGTTTTCTCAATTTGAAATCACTGAAGGATGGAAATGAGAAAGATGGGGATATTCAGTGTTAAGGCATTTTAGGATGATCTGATATAATTGGAGAGGAGAGTGACTGCCTATTGCAGTCTTTCTGAATATTGAGGTGTTTGGAGTGATGTCCTTAAGTCACAGCCTAGATGCAGGTGACCAAACCAGATGACTTCTGCAGGCTTTGACATTCTGCTACCTATGACCTATGTGTTTATGTTTTGTTCAGGTGATGGTGTGGATCCATGGAGGTGGACTGGTGATAGATGGAGCATCAACCTATGATGGACTGCCCCTTGCTGTTCACGAAAATGTGGTGGTAGTGGTCATTCAGTATCGCCTGGGCATCTGGGGATTCTTCAGGTGATACATAGTATTTCTCTCTACATACTAGTTCTGCAATAGGTCTGTTTCTGTTATGTTAACAAGAAGAGTGACACTGTGACATTGTATAGAGTTCAAAATCATTTATTTAGCTTAGATTTGAGATGTTGAGAGTCCAAGACTGTGTGGTTGCATCAATGAGCCATTGGTGAGAGCCTTTGGGCCAGAATGTTCTCTGAGACTGATTAAGTAGTTTTGTTTCTCTACACAATCTTTCTGTGTTATTTACAATGATACAGATGTCCTTGCCAAGGCCCATAGTACTCATTCTGACTGCATCTCATACCAGGTACACTTACACTTTAGTCCCTATGACCTTGAGGCCTTTGTGTCTACTGTGCCTCCTAACTGCAGTTCTCTTCTTCAGATGCACAAACACATGCCCTAATTTACTTTCTGTTGCTATGAAAAAAACACTGACCAAAAGTAACTTGGGGAAAGAAAGGGTTTATTTGGTTTATGTTTCCAGGTCCTAGAATATCATTGACGAAAGTCAGAGCAGGAAATCAAGCAGGAACTAAAATAAAATCCAGGAGGTGTGCTGATTCCTGACTTTCTACATCCTCATACTCAACCATCTTTCTTATGTAGCCCAGACCCACGTAATTAGGGACGGTGCTATCCATTGGAGGCTGGGCTCTCCTACATTAATCATCAGTCAAACAACCTCACAGACATAGCCACAGGCCAATAGTCTGAGACAGTCATCAGTTGAGTTCCCCTCTTCTCAGATGGTTCTAGACTATGTTAAGTTGGCAACAAGAACCACCATGACCATTTATATGGTTTATTCAGGTTTCCCATAAGTGATGCTGCCTTGATGCCATCTTTCCTTACTATGCAATCTAAAGCACCAACCCTCAGTCTTTCTGCTGTATTTTCTTTACTCAATCATGTTTTTCCACCCTCTGCCATTATATTCTGTTTCCATCTTTTGGCCTGTAGTGTACAGTAAGAGCCAAGTGTAGATAGAAGTTTCATGTGTTTTCTTCTCAGATGAGCTGTACATTTTAAACCCTGGTTATAAGCAGGGTGGATCCTCACTACCTGGTTTCTGGACAGCGAGTATAAAGCCTGACTCTGAACATTGATGTAGGGATGAACAGTAGGTGAACACTCTTGTCAGTGATGTGGCGCTGACCTCATTCCAGAAAACTCAGGAAGAGTTCTAGTCTCTCTCTAGCCCTCAGAACATAGTCATAGTATTCCTAACTCTACCAACTATTGTCTTATAGCACAGGGGATGAACACAGCCGGGGGAACTGGGGTCACTTGGACCAGGTAGCTGCACTGCGCTGGATCCAGGACAACATTGTCAACTTTGGGGGCAATCCAGGCTCTGTGACCATCTTTGGAGAGTCAGCAGGAGGTGAAAGTGTCTCTGTTCTTGTAAGTGTTTCTGATATCAGGCCTCACATCCAGATTGGATGTCTGTTGATGAGATCACTTACAGACCAGTCAGTCCAGCCTTGGGATTTTTGCTCTCATAACTTGGAATCAGATTGACTCTACTTATCTATCAGCATCAGATAGAGGATGATAAAGACTAAATTTCCTGAGCTCCTGAGGAGCTCAGGGCTCAGCTTTGTATCATGGGCCATAACAAATACCAATTGTATACTGCACAATGCCACTTTTCCTCTTTTGACTTATTTGAATTCTCTTTGTTAATTAGAGTAACATTAGGGTTGATTTCTATCAAGAAGTGTTGTATGTAAACTTCAAATAGGAAGGGTAAGAGCATGAGTGTAATTTGTTATAGCCTGGGTCTAGACAGTGAAGAGACTAGGGCACCCAGCAGCCTGGGTCTACCCAGTGAAAGTATTCAGGAACCTAGCATCCTGGGTCTACACAGTGAAGGATCTTGGGCACCCAAAAGAGGCAGGTGTGTCATCAGATGGTTTTTCCATGCCCAGAAGGGAAGGTGGCAGTCTCTGGGACTGAGTTATATGGTGGAATGTGGGACATAGATCTGGAGGGCATTGAGGGGAGCTATTTGGGGCACTGGTGACTTCTAGGGCCACTCTAGCTCCCTCAGAGTTGAAGAGAGAATCGGCACAATTACTGTATTTTCAAATGCATTAATTTCATATTTTGTTTGTCAAATGAAACATTCATACTTTTCAAAGTAGAGTTAAAGGAAAAGATAAATAAACTCTGAGAAGCTGGTGGTACATGTCTATAGTCCTAACACTCAGAAAGCTGAGGTTTAAAGGGTACAATATCAAGGTCAACCTTGACTAAAGAACTAATTCTTGCTCATTCTGGGCTATTTGGCAACAAGTGTTTCCTTAAAGGAGAAGCAGTTTTCTGTACTATTGTCTTTTTTGATAATTGCAAAGTATTCCTCAATGAAAATGTTCACCCAATCACGTTAGAAACTTGGACTGTTTATGATTTTAATATTAATTTAATATTATAATTTTAACTTTAATATGATGAGCACACTTATTTTTATGAGCCTCTGTGATCACTTTTCTTGGGTTATTCTGAGTAAAATAATCCTGAAGCAGAATTTATGACTAAGAGTGTCAAATTGTCTTTGCAGTGGTTTGATTATAGAGAAAGGCTCTTGCTGTGTTTTGTTCAGTTCTTATTTTGGGCTCTGCCTTTACTGTGCTAAATGTCTGTTGGAGGAGGTGGTTCCATGGTGATCCTAGGAACAGGATACTTTTCTGTCCACAGATCACCAGGGTCCCCAGATGAATGGTCATGGCAGCAGAACAGACAGACATAGCCTTAAAGAGCAAGTGAGCCTCAGATCACTCTTTTGAGTGCAAACTCTCTTCTTCTCTCCCCTGACAGGTGTTGACACCACTGGCCAAGAACCTCTTCCACAGGGCCATCTCTCAGAGCAGTGTCATCTTCAATCCTTGCCTGTTTGGAAGAGATGCTAGGCCCATAGCTAAGGTAGGTGTCATCCAGGTCAGCTACTGTACCCTTTAATCTACCACCTTGGATCCTTACCAGTCTTCCTTGCTGCAAGATTCAGCTGAGGTGCTCAAGGGATGCCTGAAATAGAATGAATGAACAGAAAGGGCTGGTTTATTACCCACATCTAAGCCATCTTCTACACTTGTTAAAGGTTCCCTGTTGAATATGCTGTCCAGGCCTCCAGCAATTCTGCACACAGTTTAGTGTATGGGAGACATGATCGCTTCCTGTGCATGTCACATCAGTCACCATCCCCATCTGTGGATGATGGAAAGTGAAACACAGAAAGATTGAATGGCATGGCAAGTGGTAGAGGTGAGGCTTAAAACCAGACAGTGAAATTCTGGATTTTAAACCTTTAATCTCCAAAAGCTTCTTAAGAAATATTTCACTTTGAGAATAGCCCTCATCCCTTTAGTGGTCCTGGAAATGGACATTGTGCTCATTTTTATCAGGACAAGTTAACAGAGACATAGATAGTTGTGTAACCAACTCTAACCACTGATCTAGTCAGTAATAAAAGTTACTCTCTGCTACCCATCCCCCATACTTGTTCCTTTAGACTACTTTCAGCAACCCTCTACCATCTTTAAAAGACACAGGCTAGAAGCCACTGAATGCATGGAGGAAGAGACAGGATATGCTCTTGACCCCTGGTGTCTTACAGAAAGTAGCTGTTCTTGCTGGTTGTAAAACCACCACCTCAGCTGCCATGGTTCACTGCTTGCGCCAGAAGACAGAGGATGAGCTCTTGGAGGTCTCTCTGAAAATGGTAGGTGTACACATCCTCGTGTCTCCATGCTATATACTTGGCTCAAGACTTGACTCATTCATCTGTCTTCTAAAATAGCTATCCCCTCTCAGGATAGTGTCAATCTTGTGATGAAAATTGATTCGCACTGCTTCCCTAACATGAAATAAATAAATAGATGAATGTAAAACTGCTCAGTAAGAACATTATAAGAAATTGCATGACAATCCTCAGATTAATAGCATGGTATTCTTATTTTAGGGTATATTTTATGTTATATTTCTACACATAAACACCAAACTGAATGGGTGAGGGCATGCAATACAAGGCTTCTAAGGAAAGTGTCCTATATAATCTAGGACCATCTGTCCACAGAGGGCAAGGCCCACAGTGAACTGGGCCCTCTCACATCAATCATTTATCAAGAAAATTTCCCACAGATGTGCCCACAGTCCAGTCTAACAGAGGCAATTCTACAATTGACATTCCCCCATCTTAGGTACTCTAGTTTGTGTCAAGTCGACAATAACTACCCAGTACACCATATATTTCTCCAACCATCTACTGTCTATTTATTCATCCATTTAACTAATTCTATTAATATTTTTCATTAATCTAGTAGAAATCATCTAAAATGTTTAATTCTTTTATTTGCAATTTTTTCATCTCTATTAATTATCCAGCCAACCTGTATCTATGTGCCTTCACACAGACCCTCAAAACAATGGATTCCTCTAGAGACCATAGAAGCTCTCTGGCACTTTGCTATTTCTGCTTGTCCATGGATTGAGCCAGTGCAGACATAGGATTTTCACTGTCAGGCTTAGGTTCTTGTAGATGTATTCAGTGATTATATATTGGTCCCAGCATGCATGTACATGTACTCTTATGCATGAATGTGCACACACAGATAGCACACTCTTGGATGGTAGGACTACAATGCACAATGGAGGAATTGTAATGGTTGCTTCCCCATGCAAGTGAGCCCAGTTAGCTAGAGTGCAGTGATATAATCACTGCCATCCTTACAACAAAGAAAAACACACATTACAATGAGTTCCAGAGATCTTGGAGGTGTCATTTTTCTGAGCCCAGATGACAACACTCTTCAGTGTCCCTTGAGCATAAAAAGGAATGCATTGTAATAGAAGCATTCAGCACTGAAATGTTCTGAAACAAAAGGTCTAGCCCATGGCTATATCCAGTTGTTCTGAAGATACTTGGGAATGCACCAACTCTATTACTCGGTTTTCTGTTCTTTTCTTTTCCCAGAATACCAGAGTCATACCCTATATATTAGAAGGCATTTTCCTTAATTTAAACCACAGGCTTAGTGTAAACTAAGGTGAAATGGCATGGTTTAGCCAAGATTTCTGACTTACATGGAAGCAAACTGTAGTGGAGGCAGGTTAGATGCCCAAACATCACTTGAGAAGAAGACATGGTGCTGCATTAAACCATGCAAGGGCCCTTGTGGATTGTACTTGAGAAGTGAAGGTTGGATGAGGTTAGAATCTGGACTCTTCCTTAACTGCTCCTCATACTGAAGGACATGGTACTCTAGATCATGTGTAGTTGTCTGAATTCATTAAGCAGGAATAAGGAAAGGGGAAAAATGGTGGAGAGCCTTCCTGCTAGTCTATCCCAACTGTTGGCTTATGCCCCCACTTGGCCTCTGTATGCCTTCTACCACCACCTTGACCTAATTCCACTACTCTGCAGAGGAGACATTGGGATACAGTCACCAGTGAGAAGAATTGAGATTAGGAGCGTGGGAATAGGCAGAAGACATCCTTTCCACAGTTCCTAAGACCTTGAGTGGTTCCCAAAACCTGTCCCTTTTCTGCCACTACCCCCTGCATCATCTGGATCCTACCTGTGCCCACGTCCAGAGGACTCTGACCCTGTTTCATGTTAGTTTCTATAATAAAATATGTTGAAAAAAGCAACTCAGGGGAGAAAGTGTTTATCTTAGTTTACAGTTCCTGGCTATAGTCCAACATTGTGAGGAAGCCAAAGTGGCAGGTGATTGAAGCAGCTAGTAGTATCACATCCTCAGTCAAGAGCAGAAATAAACCAGTGGATACATGCTCTTTTGTTTGCTTGTGCTCAGTTATACAATCTTACAACCAGCCTAGGGAATGGTGCCCCCTACAGTAGTCTGGTTCTTTTTACACCAATTAAATTTCTTAGGACACTTTCTAACAGACAACCCCACATCCCAACTCAGTGTAGACTCTACCCAATTGAAACTCTCTCCACACAGGTAGTTCTAGGTGGTGCCAAGTTGACAATTAAAGCTGTCCATTACAGACCTAGTAGAAGGTTCTCTTAACCTTGGACCTAGCGAAGGCAGAATCAGGCCAAGCTCATAGGATCAGCTTTGGACAAAACAGTTTTCTCACCCAATTTCTCTACCTTTGTTTCCACAGAAATTTGGTACTGTTGACTTTCTTGGAGACCCCAGAGAGGTAAAGTCCTTTGCTTTCTGAATTATAGGTACTGAGACTTACAATTAAGGAATAACTTTAATAATTATTGTAAGGAATAATTCCTTACAAATAAGGAATCTGTGTGTGCACTGCCGAGGTCCAGAAAGGGGAAATTACTTGTGAGGGTAACACAGTCAGGAGGAGCCAGGCCAGGAGGACTTTATTCCCAGTGAAGTCCTCCTACTCAGCAACTTGGTGTCCCCCAGAGTCACCTAACCCCTTCTAAGTGAAATTTCCTGCTTTTAAAATGATCCTGTAGGAGTAGGATACACCAGAACCTTCCATGCTCAGGAGACATCAGTAGGGAGCACAGGTCTCCTGAAAGGACACAGGGCCAATATACTGTGAAGAAGGAGACTTCTTCTTCACAATCAGGAAAATAATAAACCACATACATAGTTTATGCTTCCACAGACAGAGTCCAAGCAAAAGCAGTGGGGGTTGGAGAGTTGCACAATGGTTTGATGTGAACAAGAGTCAGGAGGTGACTTGGTGGCCTCTGGGTGGAACTCTAGAGGAGGGAAAGAAACCATCTATTTGGAAACCTAGAGGATGAAGTGCTCCTGGCAGAGTGAAGAGCCTCTGCATGGCTCTGCTGAAGAAGCCTAGCATATTTTGGGAGGTAGCATTAAAGGGTGGGTAGTAGAAATAGGAGTTGGGCTGGCCAATGAAAGGCTTGGACTGTGATTCAGCATGAGAGGGGAGTTGTTTGGAGGACTATGAAGAGAGCAATAAGAGTGAGTTTACTAATGTCTCTAACCATAGCATAATACTAGACTATAGGAAGGAAGGGAGATGGAAAACCAGCTGGAAGGCCACTGTGTAACAATAAGGCACTGCATTTTTATAGTACTTATAATATGCCAGGGCATGGGCAGTGAGGCAGCAATATATTGTTTTGGATCTGGAAACTGTGAAGGAATATCTGAGCAGGACTTACTGTGGATGTGTGATAAAAACAAAGGAAGGGACCCAAGCAGGCAATGCACACAGCACCACAGTGCAGGCAACAGAATCCCAGGGGACAGTAGCAATTGCTCACAGTGTCACAGTTACTACTGGGGTACCTCCTCTTAGATGCAGTTCCACCTGGGTTATTTCTCCATGTCCATCACTTTTACTGTTTTCCCTTCTCAGCTCCATGTACTCTGTTGTCACCAGACTTACTCTTATGAAAATAAGAGAGACCCACCATCTTAAACTCCTGACTTTTAAGAGGGATATCCCTCCACGGAGTTGGTGCTATAAAACATTGCTGAGTACCAGGGATGTTCCAGACATTATACAGACAATATGCTCCACACTTTGCTTCCTGTATCCTGTGCTTAAGTATTCCTCCAAATCAGAACTATTTGAAAGTCTCACAAAGAGCCCTGAGCAGTGATACTTTATCCATGAGGTGTTGGAAGTTGTCTTTGCAGGGCTGCAGTCCGAGCCAGCCAAGCAGCTCAAGGTTTGTACCTGAGAGGGGGAGTGTGGACTGAAGAAAGGCTAGCTAAAGACATTAAAGGAAAAGAGACAGAGACACAGAATAAAAGCAGAAGGGCAAATCAGTCAATACTGTAACACCACAAGTTTATTTTTCACCACTTTTACCTTCACCAAAAAGGGGAACATGGTTTCATATATACAGAACAGACTTTTCTTCCTCTTTTCTCTAAGGATTCAGTAACCACACCTTAGATTCAACTTCTCGCTACCTGGCCTTGAGGATCAGGAGTAATCACACCTCAGACCAGGTCTGTTGTTATTTAGAAAAGACATCTAAGGCCAAGATCGAACATTCTACTGTAGCCATGCCTTTGACCTTTAGGTCTTATGACTTACTGAGGACAGTTTTGAACTCTGTGCCCTTGAGCCAAGATGGAACTCAGCCATCTTATGGACACCGACAATAAGGTCATTCCCTGCCCATCATTTGGGAAATGTTGGTTCACAGAGAGCATATACAACTGCTGTGTGTGGCCAGCACTATTTTTCTTCAGAGAAGCTGCTTCTGCCATCTGCTCCCATGACGGCTTCTCCACACCGCAGTTTTTCTATGGCAGAAGTAATTGTTCGTAGGTCCTAGTCTCCATTGTCAACCTATTCCAGGAGGGTCTGGCCCTCACCTGCATCTCTCAGATGCAGAATCAAGTCACAGTTTGGTCATAAGTTAGGTGTTTCTTAAGGCTAATTATATTTTTAACAGTACAAATTTAGATATGCATAGGTAGATATCATCTACCATATCCACATCTGTAATCGTGGATTCTGCATTTCAGAACTCACTTACTTAGTAAAGTATCTCTGGAAGCCTAAACTATCCCATGGGCCTTAGGTGTCTTTTCTAAATAACAACAGACCTGGTCTGAGGTGTGATTACTCCTGACCCTCAAGGCATGACACCATTCTGGTTATCTGCACAGTGAGTGTAAAGCAGGTGATGCCCAGGTTCCATCTGAGCTCAAAGAGGAAATACTTTGTCTTCTTGCTCATGCTCACAAACTCATAAGTGTCTTCAATTTTGACTATTTAGTGCTGCCTTTAAGAACAGTAATTTGTTGGTTTTTAAAATGTCCTTTTATGGGATTTTTTTAGAATGTTATACATGAATATACTGTATTTATATCATCTCTACCCCTCCCTCTCCTACTGCAAATCCTCTCCCTCTCCAATTCTTCTTGAGTTCTGATCTCATCTTCTAAAAGTATTATTATATATTGTGTATAACACACACACATGTGTGTGTGTGTGTGTGTGTGTGTGTGTGTGTGTGTGTGTGCGCGCGCGCGCGCGCGTGTGTCCTGATCCTCCAGCTATTACAATCTTTCTGCTTCTTTTTCTCTGAGTCTTGGGATAGGTGATGCATTGTAGATACACTGAATGGGGTCAGGCAATTAGACTCCAAGTGTCAACCAGTAGCTTCTATTTACTTATTGAAAAAAAAAAAAAAAAAAAAAAAAGCTGCTTTGATGAGGAATGAGAGCTACGCTTACCTCTGTGTAAATGGATAGCTATTTAGAATGCAATTAGATTTAGGAAACCATCAGTAGTAGGTTCTCCTCTAAGGTCTATGACCTCTATAGCTGTGAGTAGTTGACCAGGTTTATGGTACTAAGAATGCTTTCCCCAAGCTGGATCCAGGCATGTGGGGTAAGTAGGGATAGGGATGGTATGGTGGGACAGTTATAATTTTCTTAAATTAGCATACATTAAGTCTCATTATGGTATTTTTCTAACAAAATTAATTAATATGAATTAAATTTGTTTTTTAAAATTTTGAATGTTGTACATGCATGTGATGCATACCAACCATTTTTGCCTCTAACCTCTCTACAACCAACCAGCTCCTTTTCTTCCCACAAATCTCTCTTTTGCAATCATAACTATTTTCTTACTTTGCAACCCACTTAGATTATTCATGGCTTTCTGTGCAATCATGTGTTTGGAGCTAACTCTTAGATCCTGGTGGGTTCAGCAGTTTGTGTACAAGAAGACACTGGCTCCTCCTCACTAGCATCTATTAACTAAATGCAGAGTTAAAAGGGCAGGACCCTGTCAGCCCCTCCCACTCCCTTAACTTATTGCTGATAGGGCCTGCCTCGTGCAGGTTATAAATTATTAATAAAAATTGTTGTCTAGAGAAGGTGGTTTCCCATGCCTTCACTCTGTCTTCCAATAGTCCATACTTCCTGAAACATCTTCTACAAGGCTCCCTAAGCTTTGGCAAGGATGGTATATGTATCTCACTCAGGCCTGGGAAGGACAGTCACAGACGTTGCATTTCCATCTTTCCAGAGCTATCCCTTCCTGCCCACTGTGATTGACGGAGTGCTACTGCCAAAGGCACCAGAAGAGATCCTGGCTGAGAAGAATTTCAACACTGTGCCCTACATGGTGGGCATCAACAAGCAAGAGTTTGGCTGGATCATTCCAATGGTGAGAATATATGGCCTCTTAAACAGGTATACTCACAGTCCCAGCAGTCAGGAACCCCCTGTTGCTCAAATGCCTTCTTCCTCCTTGAGTTTTCTTTGAGACCAGAACAGATGTCCCTATTGTCATTGAGTGGGTATTTCCATGGCAACATTACCCAGAAAGCCCACCTACCTATCCTCTGGCAATTTTAGTCCTGGACACCCCTTCCCCCAAACACTACCTTTCCTTAAGGAGTCCTGAAATTCATAGGCTGGCAGGGCCAGAGATAATACCTGTGCAGATGGAGCAACCAAGGACATCTAAAAAGGAGAAGGAGCTAGAGAGCAGAGGTCAGGCTGGAGCTCAGAAGCTTCCACCTTGGAGTTGAACTCTCAGGTCCCCATATACCTCCACAGGTCTCTGAAGTGTCCTGTTGCCAAGAGTCAGAGGCAAGTCATTGACTTAGTTCTGAAATCCAAACAGGATTGAAATTTTACTATGCCATAAAGTCAGACACAAAGCAATACAATTGGGTACTTTTAGTCCACTTTTAGTAGTATGGCTGAAATACAGAAAAGAGGTGTGACCTGAGTTCAAGTCCCTGACTTCCAATACCTAGAGAGGTTTCAAGGCTGGGAGCTCAAGGACTAGTGAGTCTGGTACAAGGATATTGAATTCAGTTCATGCTCTCTCACCAGGACTGGAAGCTGTAAGTTGAAATAAAACTCTTACCAAAGTGAGTCTGTTGTCCTGCATGGTGGCAGAAAAGAAATTAAGCATCATCTCTCCCAGATATTTACATTCCAAATATCACAAGCAAAGTCTTTCTCACAAAGTCTTGAGAAAGCAATTCTGGCATGATGTTATTAACTCTTAGGACAAAGAAAGAACTGGTAACTGCAATCTGTTTAACTCTCAAAGAGAGGGCCCAGGGGTCAATCTGTCCATCACCAAGTTCATGCTGATAAATAGAGTAACTTCCACTGAGTGTCATAAGTTGGTGCCATGCTAGGACATGGCCATTAGCTGCTAGAGTAGTATCAAGTCTCTGACTGCAGAAGTTTGAACAAGGTATGAACATACTGATGGTTCTATAGCTTCTCTGGAGAACTTTGGAGATCATAAAAGTATATAGTTACATGACTGACTTTGGCTTCCTCAGTCACCTGAAGTTGTGGGCAAGGGCTTGAGTCCTCTGCCCTGACCAATAACTTTTCTATTATTCTTATCTAGATGTTACTTCACTATTTGGATGACTGCTGCATATGTGTTATATGCATATATATGTAAATACATATATGCACACTTTATATTGAAGTATCTATAGGCAGATATATATAGACTATAGGCCTTACAAAAAGATATTTTAATATGTATGTATATAAAATATATACTATATTAATATATACAGTATATAATGAATGAACATACAATATATACTGTTATAATAGTATATAATATATACTGTATGTGAGTGTATATTTAATATAAATAAAAGATACATAATACACATTCATATATATTTATATTGTATATGATGCATATTATATTTTACATATTACATACACACACATCAAATTACTACTCTTTCATTTCATCGGTCTTTTCTCAAACACAAACTCTCAAGAACACCCATTAAGACCCAGTAAATAAGTTTCCGTCTGTATTGATTTGATTGTTTGGCTGTTCTGAGTCTTGTCATTTCCCCATAATTCATGAATGTTCATAACCGTTTCTTCAACAGTTTCAGGGCTTTCCAATCTCCGAAGACAAACTGGACCAGAAGACAGCTGCTTTCCTTATGCGACAGGCCTACTCCATCCTTGTAAGAGTTGAGGGAATCATGGAAATTGGTCGAGAAACAGAAGTCTGTATGTTTTTCCTGAGCACACATGTATCCAGTGGCTGAAAAGTGCTTAGATGTGGGCTCAGCTCCAGATTTCTGCTTTTCCCTTCAAAATCCTCATAAGAAATTCACATTTGTGGTTTGCAACCCAACCCTTCTCTGCTGGTGACTGCAAGCAAGCTCTTAGGGAAAACAGTTTACCTTGATAAACCAAATAGGACGGAGGCAGTGACTGGTGGCATAAGACTTATGTAGGTTGCTATGAGGAGGCATGGCAGAAGGGGACATCATGGGTGGTTACAGAATTTGGGCTCTCTTCTTTTTTGGCACATAGGCTACTGTCAGCTGCAGGTCCCTGGGTGCCCTGTAAAGCTAAAGAAAAGTTATGCAGCTGCAAATCTTATGATTTGTATCTTTTCTTTAATTCCATTTCCCAGGAATATGTTATTTGAGGTTAATTTATTAGATACTAAAGGTGCCTTTTCCCAGAGAACAAGGGAAGATAACAAAAATTGCTTTTCCCTTGAGGACCCAGGGGTATGTGTGTGTGTAGAGCAAAAGCACCTTCCCTTCAGAATAGAGATGGAGAAATCACCCACTAGAAAGCAGTCCTTAAGCCATTAGGTGGCTTCAGTCACATGGACTTTTGCCACAAGTGGGACAATAATGATACATTGCTGAGATGTCTAACCTCCAAAATTAAACTTAAATCTATTAAAAAACAAATAAATCCAAACAGTTTATATTAGTGTTCCCTGGGCCATACTCTTCTCCAAATGTTGTCTTCTTGTCCACTCACCACCAGAAGTAGGAGAATTTGTCCTTGAACTTAGGTGGCTCAGGATCAACGGATCCATGACAACCACCTAGAGAGGCCCCACTGCAGCAGGTTAGGTGGTCACTTTTTGGTCCATTTCAGAACGTCTCTGAGAATCTGATTCCTGCAGCTACTGAGAAATATTTAGGAGGGACAGACGACCCTGTCAAAAAGAAGGACCTGTTCCTGGACTTGATTGCAGATGTCATGTTTGGCGTCCCATCTGTAACTGTGGCCCGTAGTCACAGAGGTGAGTCTTGAAATGGAGTAGGAACTTGAATTAGCCAGACAGATCTCTAACCTCTGCCTTTCAGTGTAAACAGATATAAAATTTGCTGAGGTCAGGTCTCAAAGGCAGGTTCTCTATTGCTTCTGCCAGTAAGTATCGGTTAGAAAAAGGCTCACAATTTAGTCAAGGAGGTGGTGCCAGCAAACACTCTAGAGAGACAGGGCCTGGAGACCAACCTGGTACACAGTCCCCCAAGCTATATCTATAGATAGCCCCAGGGATTACACTTTTAATATGTTGTTGAATCATATTTGGTAAAGACGCTGTTGACGATTTTTATGTCTATGTTCATGAAGGATATTGAACTGTAATTTTATTTGCCTGTAGTGCCCCTGTCCTATTTTAATATCAGGATAATGATGCTCTCAGTAAAAGAATTTTACAGATATTTGGAAAGAGTCTAAGGATTAATACCACAAGCTCTTTCTTTTAATTTGTGTTTCTGTTTATCAGTGAAATTGTAATAATCTGATTTTTTCATTAATGAGGGACTTCTAATTACTATTACAGTCTCCTTACTCCATACTGATCTGTTCAGATTGACTATTTCTTCTTGTATCTGTCTCCATTTAGCTTACTAGTACAGTTATTTACCTGCTTTAGTCATTGTTGGCTGGTTGGTGGTGCTTTGCTCTGTCCAGATATTAATCAAGGAGAAATTCTTCAAGCATTTTTGGCAGCTCTTTTATTTGGCACCCTTGACTGTGGGTGTAGGCAGGTTGAGTCAACAGTAGAGGGCAGCCTCTCATTTTACAGCCAGTCACTGTTGGGGAACAAAGTGAAACATGCAGTCCTTAGTCCTGCAAACAGTTTAGCTCTTGTGTAGGCCCAGGAAGCCAGGATTCCCCAGTCCTTTGCTGCTGTCACTGAAGCATCTGCAAAAGCAGAAAGCAGTAGGGCATATCCATCCACATTCCTTAGTTTTTAACAGCAACCAGTACTGCAGCTCCTGTGTGAACCCATGAGTGTAAAGTTCCTTAGCCCTTAATACTGGTCAGTGTCACAGCTCTAGCTCTGGATCCAAGGTCTAATCTGAAACCCTTGACCGAAAGGACTCCATAGCCTTTGCAAAAGCTTCTGTCAACCAGGATCTTCAGTCTTCCTTTTCTAGCACCTTACTGCTTATACCCTTCTTCAGTCTAGGTTCCCCCCATCGCCTGCTGTCTCTCCTTCCACTGACTATCCTCCTGGCTGGGCTGTTCTCAAATTGTTCAGTGGCTTCCACTTCAGCAGCTTGGCCTGTCAACAGTTCTACTCCCTCTGCCATTGCTACTGCTATCCATTGTCACTTTCTTTGTGCTGCAATGCTGGCTGCATGACTGAATTAGGCAAGAGAGGAACACTCCAAAGTCTCATGTTAAGCTTGATGTTTCAGTGCTAGAAGAGGGAACACAGGCACGTATCTCTCAGTCATACCATCAAATAAGCCTGAACAGTCTTCTTATACCCAGAAGAGGGGTATTCACATGAAGAGGTCTTGTGTCTTTACCACTAGTCACAGCAGCCATCTGCTAGATGGCCAAGGGAACTGCCGCTCCTCTGACCTGGGTGGAAATGGCCATAAGATCATCTAGAGTTCACCAAGGGTTGTGACAGCAGGGCTTTCAGCAGTCCTCACTCTATAGTTGTCTCAAAGAGTCTGTGAGCATTAAAGTAGGTTAATGATAGCATATGGTGCTTAGCCCAAGGAAGCCTGGATGCAAAGAGGACCCAAACAGTTGTACATTAGAGAGTCAAGATGCTCCTCTTTCACCATATTTGCTTATTGATAGGAAAACTGAGAGGAGAGCCTAAAATACCCAACAGAACTTATCATTGACACTGATGATGGTTTTAACCATCTTAAAAATTTTCCCAGTATACTAGGTACATGTAAGTCCCCTTAAATGACACAGTTTTTCCATTATCCATTTCTTGTGCATATGTGTGTCTGTAGTAGTCTCTTATGATGCTGGGATGTTGATACACAAATAAACAAACATAATGTTCCACATAAACAGACTAAAGGATAGCAACCACACTATCATCTTATTAGATGAAGAAAATGCCTTGGGCAAAATCCACCATCCATTCATGATAAAAGTCCTGGAGAGTATAGGGATATAGGAGACATATATTAAAATGAGAAAGGCAATATTCGGGAAGCCCACAGCCAACATTATTCTAAATAGAGAGAAATTCAAAGCATTTCCACCTAAAGGGAACAAGTCAAGTAGGATCCCTCTCAACTTGTTAAACGAGTACTTGAAGTCTTTGCCAAAGCAATAGATGAGTGATGGAGATACAGGGGATACAAATAGCAGAGGAAGAAGGCAGTGTTCTTACTGTGATAAGATTCTGTGTATAAAAGACCTTAAAGACTCCATTAGACAACAAAAGGAGATAAAGGGGATAGAAAACTCCTACAGCTGAGAAACAGAGTTTTAGAAACTGAACTCAGGTCTTCAGCCTTGGTGACAAGCTCTTTCTCTCCCGAGACATCTTGCTATCCTGTAGTATAATCTAAAAATCTATAACAAGATGATAACAATGTAACTTTAAGTATAAGAACTCTATATCTCTGTCCCTCAACACACACTTTCTTCATGTTTCTGATATCAGGATTTACATCATCTAGGCAGACATCATAACTTATCATAAATCTAGTTGATTAATTTGTCTCATCTATAATCATTGGTGTAATTAATTTCTATTGATTCTTTGCACTACACAGAATAAAAGTGTGTCCACATCTCAACTATAATTCTGGAGTGTCCTGCATGTGGCTTGCTTCATACCAATGGCTTTGATGTCTCATGTTACTCATCACTATCTTTAAGTTTTGGTTTAATAAGCACTGTTCAGCCACTCCCATGAGGCAGGTCCAGAGGCAGCAAGTCCCACAGCTCTGTCTAGGAAAACTGCTATGTCTCCCTCACCCCTGAAAGACCCTTTCCTGAGCACAGTGCTCTAGGCTGGGTTACTTTCCTTCAGCACACTGCCTGGATCACCAGCTCTCCCAGGCCCTGGGATTTCCTCTAAGACACTGGCTGTATGTTTGACACTTCCTTGATTGTAGAGCTCTTAGCACTGATGTACCTGGGGTTCTCCCCTCTCTTTCACTGTCAAAGCTGTGATTGTTTGTTTCTTGGCTAAAATCACCTGGAGGCTGCTGTGCTTCCTGACCTAATGCTGGGAATTTATCCCAAAAGGCCAGCATTTTCAGCCACAATCTCTTGAAATAAACCCCCGTCCTTCTGTTTTCTTCCTTCTACAAGTCCTCTTGTTCAAATGTTTAGCCTGGTGACAGCACTTAATTGTCTTCCATTTTTGGGGGTTTTTGTTTGTTTATTTGTTTGTTTGTTTTTCTTACAACTTGTAACTACTAAGAATGTGTGTCTTAGTTTCCTTCCAAATATCACATTGTGATTATAAGAAATTTAAAAATATCAGAGATTCAACAAAAGGTAATAAAAATATGTTGGGCAGTGTTCTATGTAAAATGCATTCTTTTGTTCACAAAAGATCTCTGTTGCATAGCTAGGATCTGAGTTCCCTTCTAAAATTGCCAAGTGGCAGAGACAAGGGCAAACCCTTTCCACCAAGTTCTACTTATCTTGAAGCATCTGTTCCATAAATGGCTGTCAGAATCACATGGTTGCCAAGGTTACTGTAAGGGAAGATATGAAAGGTGATTTTCTTCCTCATCCTTCTTATGTCATTAGAAAGTTCTGTCCATGGATATATCATGATGTGAAGTAATGACAACAGTGTATTAAATATACACCAAATTATTTTAAATGTTTATGACATACATGATAAAACCAAATTATAAGTGCATAAAGGTTTATACATACATATGTACATATAAATGTGTATCTATATAAGATTCATAGGCTATAAAACAGTGGGAACTTCTCTGTGTGATATAATCATACATTTTAATTTTGTTTTGATTTTTACTTTTTCTGCAAATTTCAATTCTCTTACTATATCCATGGGGACAATGTTGCAAAATTTCTCCACCAGGCTGATATGCTCACCCTTCCCTCCCTAAAATCACTCCTAGTGCACAGTTAGGAGGCTTCTGTGCAGAGGCTTTCTGGGCTATATCATAAGGGGCAAGGACTGGTGGCTCCACCGATGTTGTAAGAAAAGTGGCATTTGACTCACATCCAGAACTTTGTTGGTGAGTGTGGAAGGCAGAGGATGGGAGAGAGGTTAGAGGAGACTCCAGTTCATCTTGCCTTGGCACTTCTGTCTTGCCATCACTTTCTCACAGTAGGATATTACACTTGGGCCAAGCACACAGCTGGATATGAAATATGAATTTGCCAGTTTCTGCATAGATTTTTAAAGTCTAACTACCATAATTTTCAGAGGCAGTCTGGATTTTCTTCAGCCTGCTCTGTAGAGCTGAGAAAATTCCTAGGAATGCTCAAAGCCAGTCTGTCTGAAAGGCAACCCCAAGGATCTAGACCGTCTTGGAACCAAGGAGCAGCCATGTCATCATTAACACACATCCTGTGTGTTGCATTCAGGGATACATTAATTGTTCATTCAATAAACACCTGGTTCAGATCCTAATTCCACATCAACCAGATGTGCAGCCCTAAGCAAGTCACACCCTTCTTAAAATGGCGTTTATCTCCTCTGCACACGAGGAGTGTGTTCAACCACAGGGCCTAAGGCCTGGATATCATCCAGGTATGTGCCTGGAAATGTGAACTGTGCATGAATCCATGTCTCCTCAGATGCTGGCGCTCCCACCTACATGTATGAGTTTCAATATCAGCCAAGCTTTGTATCAGACATGAGACCCAAGACCTTGAAAGGAGACCATGGTGATGATCTCTTCTCTGTATGGGGAGCCCCATTTTTAAAAGGTAATGTCTCTCTGCTGGCTTTCCCCTGGTGATCTGAGGCCTGGGTTTGGGTTTTGGCTTTATGACCTTGAGGAATTTCTCCTTCTAAACTGGCTTTCCAGAATCTCTATAACAGGGCTCAGCTATGGAACAGTATCCAGCCTCTCTGCTTCTTCAGTACATGTGATAGGATTGTGCTAATGTGTTCCCAACCATAGTCATTCTCAGAATCCTGACCTGTGACACCAGAAAAGATCTGATGGGTTGCATATAGGCCTTGCTTAAGGCAAACATTCCATGGTTTGATTTTCCTCCTGTGAGAACATTGGAACAAGGGAGGGAATTTAAAAATTTTGCTAACCTTAACATGGCCTATTGAGTTTCTTCCTATCTGGCTATCTATATTTGTTGATACCCAGCTCCCATGTAGTCTCTAAGAGTTGTTTTCCAGCATAACCACAGGTAACCCCTGTTTTCCTGACCTCACCCCACTAGCATCGATATCCTGTTGTGAACCCTTTCGCCTGGGGGTTTTGTAAGTTTGTATATAAGGCTGCTCCACAATAAAAGGAGAGACATTCTCTCAGAAAATGGACTTGTCATTCATCAAAATCTCCAGGCTTTCGCCTGATACTTAGACTTAGTTGTGGTGCAGGCAGCCACACTATATATGTAAAACACATCATATACTTTTATATCTTTAATTATATGATGCTTAAGAGAAACTTTCACAGAGGTCTTCAACACCTTATTTCTCAGGAGCTGCATGTAACTAGTGATCTCTTACAGTGCATCACTGTCTCTGGGAGTGCCCAAGCTATGTGACTCCATAGGCTCTCGGCAGTTCTGATCATTTTCACAGTCTGTGCACAGGAGTGAAAATAAAAGAGTGATAACAGCTCTAAAAGCCACCAACCCTGATAAGTTAGAAGTAACGGACTATTGTTGCCATTGTATCCCAAGAGGAAAGTGCCAGGCAGCTGAATGTGGAAGATGAAGGCAGAGAGCTTATGGAATTAAGTCATTTGAACTTAAGTGTGGGCCTGATCAAGCAGGATCTTCATAAAAATTAGATTTGGACCCAACAATTATGTGATAAGAGCCAAGACTTTTCATTTCTTTCATTCAAGTACTAACCAGGCCCAACCACACTTAGCTTCTAAGATCAGAAGAGACAGGATGAACCAAGGGCATTATGGCCAAGCAAAGAACTGTATTTCTTACAGGCTCCCTGTGCTGCTGCTGCTCTGCCTTGTAAACCAAGGCTTATATAGTTAAAGCATCTTCCTTTATCCTCCACAGGGGGCACCTCAGAAGAAGAGATCAACTTCAGCAAGACAGTGATGAAATTCTGGGCCAACTTTGCTCGGAATGGGTGAGGTTGAAGATATGGTGTGAAGGCTCATGGCTTTTGGGAATGAGTATTATCTAATGCTTGAGTGATTGACCTCTTTTCTCTATGACCATAGCATTCTTACAAGGAGACCCAAGTTAGTCAGTTTTGTAGGCATGACTTTATTTGTGAGATAGTTCAATTTAAAGGATGGATTGTGAAATTTGGCTCACAGAGGTTTCAATTCTTGGGCACTTGGCTGTTCACTCTGGTCTTGCATCAATACAGAACACCATGGTGGGAAATAGGGTAGACCAAAGCTCCATATGTTCCACTGATAAGAGAGTAGACGTAGACATAAAGGATAGAACCAAGGTTCCAATATACTCCTCATAGGCATGTTCCCTACAGCCAACTTCCCCCAACCGGTGGATGCTCTTAAATTTTCCATCAACTTCCAATAGCACCATCAGATGGGAATTAAGACCAGCATGTATGTTTTGGAAGAATTTAAGCTCTAAATCATAATCTGTGACCTTCAGAGGCTCATGCCCATCGCACAATCTCAATATTTCCAACATTAATTAGAAGTCCAAGTCAAAGACTTCCATAGTCTTACAGAAATTCTTAGTTTTGAGTCTCCATTGCAGCAAAACAGTAACATTTCCAAGATATAATGACAAAGTCCATACATTCCTATCACGCATGAACGAACAGGAAAGTGGCACCAAGGAATTGTCCCAAAGCAAGTCCAAAATACAAGAGAAAAATCTTAATTGTTGAAGCTCTGGGTCCAGCATCCAGGAGTCTGTTGGTAGATGATGGGCTTGGGAAACTTCTCCTCTATGGTCCTGATGTCTCCACCGGCAGGACCTCTCTGGGACTGGCTATGCTTAAAGCCTAAACCTTTCCTAGGCAGATGTTCCTGGCCCTGCCAGTTCTAATTAACTAGGGTCTCCATAGCCCCATCAGCTTCACTCTCACAGTGTCAATGCATCACTCTCTCAGTGTTGCCAGCAGGGTCTTCAAACCTTCCACGCACTGGCTGGCCTCCCAAACCTTCATTTGAAAGCAGGAAGAACCCTTGATGACTCTGTAACTCTTGTATTCTGCATGTTTACAAAACCAGCACCACATAGACAATGCTAAAATGCAACTGTGGCCTGAGATTTGGCAGGGCTCCATGAAATGTTAACTGTAGCATCTTCCAACTCTCTGAACATGGGAAAATAAATTCAAGGGAATCAGTTACTTAGGTCATTTTGTGGTGGTCAGGGTTCTCTTCTCAAAGCATATTCTTCAAAGCAATTTTGTATCCAAAGCCTATAATGGGCTGATTGGAGGCTTCCTAAGTTATCCTTGAAGTAGCTCCCCTTTGTTCATATACAAAACAGACTTGATACCATGGCACTAATCCCTTGAGCAACGGAACTGTCCTTGTACATAATTTTAAGCATGCTGCTTGTTTGGCAAAACTTCAAATTTCAAGCCTTTATGGTGTGAATTTTTGCTCCTAAATCTTAGTGTAAACTGATTACAATCAGCAGAAAATACCATTGCCACTGCCTTCATAATGTGCTCCCTAAATTTCTCCCACTAGTTAAACAGCGCATCAACTCTGAAGTCAGCCTCTCATAAAATTTCAGGGCAAAATAAAGATAAATTCACTTCCACAAAGGAAGATGGATGGCTTCCAATATAGTTCCTTATAGAGGACGCATTCCCATGTGAGTGATCGAACGATTGACTTCTCTGTATTTTGCCCATTAGCTCCCACTAGACTATTCTGCAAGCCTTAATAACTGCATTCTAGATATTCTGCAACACACTCAATAACATTTCCAAACTCTGTCACAAGCCAATTAAAAAGTCTTCTGAACTGTATCATCAGATAAATTAAATAATGCCCCGCATCTCAGTAACAACTTCAAGTATTAGCTTTCAATCAGTTCAAAGGATGAATGTTTATTTCAGGCTCTGAGTTATACTTGGACTTTTTATTTGGGGCCTGTGCTGAGGAAGAACATCATGGTAGGGACAAGTTTGTGCAAAAAGCTCCTGTCTCTTGACAGGAAGGAAGCAGTGAGATAGAAGGGTGGGGGAGGGGTGCTACTCATGGCCAGTCCTTCAGGGACCTGCTTCCTCCAACCAGGTACCACTTGCTTAAGTTTCCACTTATGCCCAGTTTGTTATCAGCCAGTATCACATGAGGAAAATTTAATATCCAAACCACAAAATGATTGTTCTTAAAATGAACAGGCTGATCCTAGCGCCCTCATCGAGTGGCTGATGGAAGCAGAGGCAGGCACCCACAGCTATACACTGAACTGAACCTGGAACCCCGTTGCAGAGAGGGAGGAATGATGATCAAATGGGTTGGGACCAGGCTGGTGAAACCCACAGAAACAGCTGGCCTGAACAAGGGGGAACACAGTGACCCCAGACTGCTGACTGGGAGGCCAGCACAGGACTGATCCAGACCCCTGAACGTGGATGTCCCTGTGGATCAGTATTTTTCCCTGGTGTAAGAAGGGATTTGACAGCCCATCCCACGTGAAGGGATGCACTCTTGGCCTGGACACATGCGGAAGGGCCTACGCCCAGCCCAGGATGATGTGCAGACTTTGGGGAGTCCCCATGGAGGGCTCTTCCCTCCCTGGGGAGAACTAAGAAAAAGAAAGAAAGAAAGAAAGAAAGAAATAAAGAAAGAAAGGAAGGAAGGAAGGAAGGAAGGAAGGAAGGAAGAAAAATGAACAGGCTGTCCCAGGCAGGAGACAGCGATCTGGTTACTGGTTTCTTGGCAGAGATGAGCTAGGACATCCTTGCTCATTTCCAGACACCATGGGGACAGCATAGCTGATTTGGTGAATTTCTCTTTTTATTCTGTTCACAGGAATCCCAATGGGGAAGGCTTGCCCCATTGGCCAGAATATGACCAGAAGGAAGGCTACCTGCAGATTGGAGTCCCAACACAGGCAGCCTATAAGCTGAAAGACAAGGAAGTTGCCTTTTGGACTGAGCTCAGGGCTAAGGAAGTAGCAAAAACACCCACCCAGAGGGACCATGTTGAGCTCTGATCAGGAAGTCCAGCCAGATTTGAAAGCCTGGAGCCAAGAAGGGGCTATTCCACAGAAACATTTGCTTGTTTGTTTGTTTGTTTACTCTACAAAACTAGCCGTCTTACTATTGAGCATATAAACTCTTTGATATATTATACAAACAATAAGAGGGAGATGTTGGTCTTTGTGCTCTCTGTTTTTTGTTTGTTTGTTTTGTTTTGTTTTGTTTGTTCTTAGCAACAGTATAAATCATAACTGTAAATCAAACCAGGGCCTGTGTCTTTGAATAAAGATGAATTCATGTGCCTCCCAGAGGGAAGTATGGAGAAAGATCTAGCATTGTGAGATGCCACTTCTACAGGTGGTGGATAGATGATTGACTGTCCTGGATCATAAAGGAAACAAGCAGACTAAGCTGAGATGGTGTTGTGTCACTTTTTCCTGGGGAAACCTGAACAAGGCTATTCATTCAAGATAGGGCAGGAATGACAGATCAAAATAATGATTCCACCAAAGTCTAGCTTGCTGGACTAGTGAGTTTATTGGCCTTACTTACATGAGTGAGGGGGTTTCTTACCAGTTCACTGAGAAAGTAGCTACATCATGAAAAAGTCTTACCTGAGCATGGTTGACAACTACCTGTAGTTGCTGAGATGGAACCCCAACCTCAGCCCTTTACCCTGTGTTTATGCTAGCACACTGTCAGATGACATACAACTTGGACAGAATATTGTACAACCAGGATGGGATGACAAAGGGAGTGGCTAGACTCTGGTAAGGATCACCTATGAGGAAACATGAACAGCTGGATTTTGTGAGTCTTTTATAGGTAATCACAGCTGTTCTGATTACGATGTTACATTTAAAGAGATCTCTGGACACTGGCTCACTTGCTCCCTTTAGGTGTAAGATGTTTTGATGAATGTGAGGAGATAGGCTAAAGACTTTATATTAAAGTGATACACACCAAATGCAGCCTTAACCAGAGAGTAGAAAACCCCTGAGAAGCACAAACTCCAAGAAGAATGTATGCACGTCGTAGGCTTTGCTCTGTAGATGTCTGTCAAGTATTCAGGGTAGCAAGACTGGTACACAGAATATTTCTGTAGTTCAGACACAGAGCACCTCACAGTCCGTCTTCATGAAAAAACAGGATTCTCTATCCACGGGCATGGGGATGGGGGATTGCCATAGCTTTGGCAGAAAAAAATATTTCAAATGAAGAAAGGAAGAGCTTTAAAATTCTACCCACCCATAGGTGGGGAGGAACTTGGAGGATAGTCAGAATTCATAATTAGAATATACTGTATGGAAATAATCTATTTTTCAATTAAAGAAAAGAAAGAAAGGAAGAAAGGGAGTATGCATCTGTTTTGGAAGCCTGTGTCCTCTGCACCATACTCTGTTCACATTCGTTATTGTATTAAAGATGTACACAGTTCAGATAACGATCAATCCCCCACATTTCAAAAGTGAAACATGGACACTGTTACATCTAGAAAAATCTATTTGTTTTCAAATTGACAGGTGGGTTTTACTGCCAGTTTGCAACAATCTGTCCTCCGGAACAGATTGTTTACTTTTAGAAGTCTAGTGGAGAGAGTAACTGAGGTCACAAAATACTCCTTGTAAGACCTACTCTAAGACCTTTTTCCAGTTTCTTCCTGCACAAAACTGAAGTAAATAAAACATTCCAGAAAAATATCATCTTCCCTGGAGTGGCTGTTATGGAGCTTACAACAGTAACTTCTTCCACATGCTACCAGCCATACCTGCAAGGGGAGTAGGGGACATCAACTGTGACTGACAATCCTCTTTCCCAGAATACTCCCTGTGTTGTTCATGGCAGGATGAAACCATCAGCACTCAAAGGCATAAAACCTTCCCAGAATTCCTTGGGGAACCTAGAAGCCAAACATAGAGCATAGGACTACCTGCCAGCGAGGAGGCCATTATAGTTTTGGAATTCATACTGGCGGTGGGCAATCCATTGGAGTATAGTCAACCTGCCAGTGACCACACCCTTAAACTGACAATTCCTACCCTAGCAATTAAAACTTTCAAAAGGGTCTAAGCTAGTGGTGGAGCTTATGATTCCTCCCCTCCATGCTAGAATGTTGACCGGTTTGTTCTTGTGCAAGCAACTACAGCTGTTGTGACTTCTTGAATGCATTGGTTCTTTTTCTTTCTTTTTTTTTTTTTTTAGTTCAAATTAGAAACAAGGTTGCTTCACATGTCAATCCCTTCTCCCTCTCCCTCCCCTCCTCCCAACCCCCCAACAGCCCCCCACCTCATCCCCCCTCTGCTTGAGGGAGGGTAGGGCCCTCCATGGGGGTTCCCCAAAATCAGTCATTTGCTGACTTCTCCCTGACCTCCCTGATATGTCTACAATCCTCCCTCCTCTTCTTCCACAATGATCCCTGAGCTTTGGGAGGTGATACTGATGTCTATTTGTTCCTGAGCACTCTGCTGACACACGTTCTCTTTACATTGCACCTGTTGCTCTTGAAAAGACCTGTGTTCAGTTCCCAGCAACCACATAGTGACAAAAAATAGTAATTTTGGTTCTAGAGAATTCATATCCTTTTCTGGTCTCTACAGGCACTGTAGACACGTGATACACAGAAATGCATTCAGGTTAAAAACAACAACAACAACGAACTTATACATACAAAATAAAAATGAACAACCCTCAAAGAAAAATTTAGAAGGCAGTTTGATACTATTTTCATTTATCAGATAATAGTAATAGGTTTAACCTTGGAACCTATGAGCTCCCCAATCATGGGTTCTTGGTCGGATTTAGAGTAGCAGGTATGAGTTTCCTCCTGTGAACCATAAATGTCTAGTATTAATTACCCCTACTCCCAATCCTATCTCTGCCCTAAGCTCTCATTCTTTTCTCCCACTTAATCCCCTTCCATTACCCCCTTCCCCAACCCATATCACCTATGTTTTACCATCTCCTCTCCCATCTTCCTTCTCTCTCCCACCAATGGGTATTTTTCTAGTTTTCTGAATTCTATAGGTAGTCCAAGGTAAACACCCTAAGATACGCACATGAGTGCCGACCTGCGACATTTGTCTTTCTGGATCTGGGTTACTTCCCTCAAAATGATTATTTCCTGCTTTATTCATTTACCTGCAAATTTCATTTTCTTATAGCTGAATAAAATTCCATTGTATATAGGTACCTCATTTTCATTATCAACTCAAAATTGATGGGCATATAAGCTGTTTCTACATCCTAGCTATTGTGAATAAAGCAACCAGGAACATGAATGAGGATGTGTCTGTGTAGTAGAACATTTTGGCTATATCCCAAGGAGTTTATATATCCAAAGGACTATAACAGATCTGTTGCTATTTTGGGAGGAAATGGTGCACTGATTAAGGAAGAGACCATCAGGGAGGCAGGATGGTAGAATATATATAGTATGAAAGTAGAAGAGGAGACTAGCTGGGAAAATTAGAGAACTAATAGGGATTATAGGGGTGGGGCAAGAAGTACAGAGTGGGCAAGGGGGGGCGACACATCTAAGATGTTCTAATGACACATCTAAGACACTCTAGTGACACATGGAAGAAAATGCCATTGCATAAAAATGGGTATCAAGCTTGGTGGGCCCTCCCCCAAATGATGGAATGCACTTTGGGGGCCCTGTGGAGGGCCTCACTATCCCTGGGGAGGGGGGAGGGAGGGTTGGGGGTTGGTGGGGAGCAGGGGAGGATGGTAGGGCAAGGGAATGGGGGGATGGATATGTAAATAAGAGTGCTTCTAAAATAAAAAAGTAAAAGTGACTCCATGGTGGTGGTGGTGGGGAATGCAATAATAATAATAATAATAATAATGTCTTTCAAAAGACATTGTACAGCTTAGAACTCTTAGCAAGAAGCTTGCTTTTAACAGCTAAAGCATTAGAAATAGTGCTGTGTTTCTTGATTTATTTTCACTGATAGACGTGGAAAGCAGAAAAAGTTCAATCTTCCACTCAAGAAAACTAAACTCTCAGGTACCTCAGCAGCTAGAGGTAGTTTTTACTTTCCCGTTTCTTGTGGAAAGAAATGCCAGAGATTTTAGCAAATGCTTAAGAATGAATGGATAATTGGGTGGAGAGTGATTAGAATACTAGAGGGGTGGAGCTGGTGGGAACAGCCCTTCCTGAAAGGTTCAGGCATTATGCTGGCCTGCCCCTGTTACCTGGTGAAACAGGCAATACCCTGGTCAGCCCAAGGTTCCATGGGAACTAAGTCTCCAGGAAGGTGCAGAGGACCCCTTTAAAGATAGGCCTCTGCCCATTTAGACTCTCTGTCCCGCTCTCTGTTCCCGCTCTCTGTGCTACTCTGTCCCCCACCTATGCTCTCGCTCTGTCTCTCTATGGGGACCGGCCATGGCGGGCAGCCCTTTACCCTGTTCCTCTTCTTAGTCTCCCCATTCTGCCGGGCCTTATAATAAACTTATAGTCTTATGTCTCATGTCTCAGCATTTCTCTTTTCTTCTTTTTAAACAAAAGAATAACACTTCCCCCAGTGCCTGCTCTACAAGGTAGTGTGTTCTCTCATGAGGTGGTGTGCAGTAGCACACAGGAGCTCTTGCCAGGAATATTAAAGGCAATTCAGACACCAAAGGAGACAGGATAGAGTAAAAGGTTGCTTTAGTACGAGAACTTAGAACTCTAGGAAATACAGACGCAGGAATGTTACATGATAGATCCTAATTTTGGAGCTGAGATGTTTGTAGACTTTGATTTGTTCTAAAATCTCCCATCCTTTTCTGGGGATGCCAGATTAAAACTTCCCCTGCCTGCAGGCATCTGCCTGCTATGCTTCTCTCTGCCTTTGGGAGGCTCACAGAACACTGAGGTTTGACTGGCACAGGGACAAACCTTATGTAAGAAGTCCTTGGATTAGTTTATGGGTCTCTGTTATCTGAGAGTTGGGCAATGACTGTGCAAATTAGAGTGCAGAGAAGGTGGGTGTGGCTTACAGGTCCCTCCCACTAGACACCCAGAGAGCTCTTGGCAGGGGGTTTTCACCGGATTATTTTATGCAAATTGGCAGAGGAGGCAGGATTTCCGGGGTTGGTCTATAGCTGTGGGATAGGATCTGCATATTCCCTCCAAGCTCTGTCATTTCACTGTACCCTGGAGAGTGAGGTGCTGTCCTTTCATGATGTGGCTCTGCACTTTTGTCCTGACCTTTCTCACTGCTTGCCTGACTCAGGGTGAGTATGCTCGGATAAAAGTACTAGTTACACATTTGAATTCTTTGTCTTGGACCCTGTTTTATGAAGATGCATATGAGGATGGAGAGAAGACTAGCCAAAAGTATTGACAGCATAAACAGTAGTAACAAAATTCCCGGGGTGAATCCTAGCTCCATGTCCTGAGCTGTGCGGTTCTTGGGAAAGGTACTACTATATTTTGTAGTGTCCAGACTTGCCTGCTTCTAAAATAAAGATGACAACAACGTGGTCCTCATTTAACTTCATGAAAGTGAAATGAGTGGTTGTGTCCATAGCAGCCCAGGGTGTAGCCTTCTCTAGAGGAGATGTAGAAAAGGGCTGATTTAAAATGCAGTGTGTTTGTAGATAATTTGATATTAAAAAATCATACTGAGAGCAACAGGCCAATTAAAGGATGGTTTATTACTGAGGAAAAGGGTGCACCAATGTGTAAACAGAGCTTCAAATGTCAATGCAACAGGTATAGAAATCACATCCATGGTCGGTACAGGGGTCCAATGTGGGCTTCAGCAACCATCTATGCTTCTCTATGGAGAGAGACTGAGGTTTCCAAGGGAATATACTTACCCAACGTCTTCTGGAATCATGCCCAGCTCTGTCTCTCCTGCAGAATCTACCGCACGCTTTCCCATTAAGGGCAGTGGTAGGTACTGACATGTATAGACTTTATCTTCTCTCTGGTTGTGTGACGTTTTGAGAGGCTAGGAGTAGAGTGTGAAGCAGAATGAGAAAGGGTTCAAAGTCAGAGTTGAACATTCCTGTGCTGCTGTTTTCCTTGGCAATGACCACCTCATTTCCATCTTCAGGAAGTTCATCCAGGCTGTTTACAATTCCTGATTTTCATTTATAACAAAGCATTGATGACCCCCTATCTATCAAGGCTTTGGTGAGAAAAACTGTACAAGATTTGGAAGGTACATCTGTTATACACTAGGTGGTCACTATGCACACATTTCGTATTACATAGCTGGCAGCTTCTGCAGCCCCATTTATGCCTCTGTCTCATATGTCCACTTTTCTACTCAGGGCAATCTAGTTTCCACACACCTCAAGTGGGTGGCAAATGATCTTGAGTTAACATAGGCCACACCTAGTGACTGTAGCTCAGACTCTACCCTCCTTTCCAGAATTCTTGGCAACCTCTCTCCCCTTCTCCCTTGTGTCTCTAGTGCTGTGTCCTTCCTTCTGCTATGGTTCTTAGTCTCACAGTAGCTTTTTCATTTCTACACTGGTTCCCTAGGGTGCATGCATCCATGATGCGTACTCTCACTTTCAGGTGGATAACTAAGTGCCCATCACTGACCACTTTCCAGTACTGAAATGCCTCCAGCTCTCTTCATAATTCTTTCCTAATTATAAAATAGCATTCTAGTATATATGTGTTGGAGTCACACAAAATAGCAATGCTACTACCCATGGGTATTTCAACACAAACACTTGACAGGAAAGGTATCTCAGTGACTGGAAAGGTATCTCTGGTGACCTAAAAGCAAAGAGAACAAGCATGAGGTTTGTTATTACTAAACTAAGGCATGCACATGTTCCATTTTATTTCATTTAAAAGTATTTCTTTTATTTTTTTGAGATTATAATTATCACAAAATTTCTCCCTTCCCTCCCTGAAACCATACTATTTAACTCTCCTTGTTCTTTTTCAATTTCATAATCTCTTTTTTGTTAATTGTTCTACACACACACACACACACACACACACACACACACACACACACACACACACACACACGCACACACACACTCCTACATACATAAGTACAACTAGATCAGTCTGTGTAATATTACTGTTGTGTATGTTTTTAGAGCTGACTATTTGATATTTGATAACCAATTGATGTGCCTCTCCCTTGGGAAAACTATTTCTCCCATTCTTAGTATTCCATAGTTTCCTGTAGTTGTTTGTATAGGGTTGAGGCCTCCTGGCTCTCATATTTTTTTGTTTGAGAGTCTTCATACATGCATATAATGCATTTGGTATTTAGGTAGACTCCATTCCCTATCCCCTCTCTTCCAATTTCTCTTCTAATGCTATGAATATTTTTCTTCCCAGCCTCATTTACTTCTAAAAAAGAATAAGTTCACTAGGTCCCATTAACTACTGTCAGTACATACATGGGTGTAGGACCATATATGGGAGCATGAGTAGCAGCCTCTCAGGACCCACATTCCTAGAGAAACCTGGCTAGTCCTCTCCTAACAGTCATCAATTTCCAGTGGTGCCTCAGCTAGAAGTGGGCCTTTGTGATGCCTCCCTTATCCACACCTGTGTGGTTGAGTGACGAAGAGAAGACTAGGGCGTGGTTTACTGATGGTTCTGCACATGATGCATGTGCCACCCAGAAGTGGACGGATGCAGCGTATTACAGCCCCTATCTGGGACAACCCTGAAAGATACTAGTGAAAGGAAATCTCCATAGTAGGCAGAACTTTGGACAGTACACATGGTATTACAGTTCGCTTAAAGAAAGAAATGGCTAGATCTGTGATTGTTCACTGGTTCAATGGTGGTCAGCAACTTGGAAAGAGTATGATTGTAAAAAGTTGTCCTTATCCTTATTTCACATGAGATTAAATGGAACCTTATAGGATTCAGTTGACTTATTCAAGGTCACATGCCTAGAAAGTGACAAACCCTACCTGGAAATGACCTTTCTCTTCTGATGTGGCCTCATTTTCTCCATCTTACACAGGGCACCCACCCTCACCACCCATAGTGGACACGGTTCATGGCAAAGTCCTGGGGAAGTATGTGAGCTTAGAAGGATTCACACAGCCTGTGGCCATCTTCCTTGGAGTCCCCTTTGCCAAGCCTCCTCTTGGATCTCTGAGGTTTGCTCCACCACAGTCTGCAGAGCCCTGGAGCTTCGTGAAGAATGCCACCTCCTATCCTCCTATGTAAGCCTCTGGGGTGATCCTTAGTCTCTTTAATTGGAGGTGTCTCTCTCAGTGTGGTGTAGGAATGACTCAAAGCAATCTTCTGATTGGCTATACTTTCTTTTTAAATTTTAATCAGTTTTCTATTATTGAAAATAGATTTTGATTCAATATATTCTGATTATGGTTTCCCCTATTCTGAGTCCTCCTAGCTACTCCTCATCTCCTTTTTCCTCTAGATGCACAGCCTTTCTGTCTAAACAAACATCTATGGAATAGTAGCAAAGTACAGTAAGACAAAACCGAAACAAACAATTTGGAAGAGGACAAAACAAACATAATAAAAAAAGGCAAAGAAAAAACCTGAGTAGCACCTATAGATACAGAGACACGCGTTCATACAGAGGAATTCAACAAAAACAAAACTGGAAGCTATAATATGATTTCATTTGAACAGTAGTATGGAAACCTAATAGAGCAGAAGCTTCCTAAAGTATATACATATATAAAGGGGATGTAAATGAAATTGCCACGTAATGGGAGACAGAGCCCAACTAGACATCTCTCATAACCAAATAAAGACTCCAGTTCTAAGAAGGTTACAGTTACTCAAGTTGTTCTCTAAAAGGTCCAATGTGAACTGCAAAGCAACCCAGGCTATTTGTTTCTCTCCACAAGCTGATAAGAAGACCCTATTGCTGAACACAATACCCACATAATTCACTGAACATGGAGAAGTTGAGATGGTGCCTACATAGAGCCCTCACACCCTTTCAGACTAGTGTTCCTGGTAGTGGAAGGTGCTCTGCACACTCTCAAAGGAGAAACGTAAACACCAACCCAGCTACAAATGCTTCCATACAGTGGTGATCTGCCTGCAGGATATTTTGGTACAAAGGTGGCACAAAGCTTGTGGGAGTGAATAAGCAAGGTCTGATTTGATTTAATGTTCACTCATAAGATGGAACCCATAGCCAACACTACTTGGGTGGCCAAGAACCAGAGACTAGATAGCCCAGGGACTTAGGGTAAAATCAAATACTACTGTTCCATTAAAGGAATGTAGCAGTGAAATTATTCCTAATGGCATTCTGTTGTACTCATAGATCAGTGCTGTTTGCTCAGCCATCATCAGCAAAGCTTCCTCCTGTAGCAGACAGGAACAAATACAGAGACCTACAGCCAGCCAATTTGCAGAGAGTGAGAGACTTTGGAACACTCAACCCTAAATGGAATGTCTCCATCAAAACCTTCCCCTCAGAGCTCAGGGAACTCTGTGGAAGAGGAGGTGGAAAAAGTAGAAGAGCCAGAGAGAACTGAGGACACCAAGGCTACAAGGCTTTCAAAAACTGACACACATATGAACTGACAGAGATTGTGGCAGCATGAACAGGACCTGAACAGGCCTACACCAGATGTGGTCCTACAGTTGAGAGAAGTGGACACACCCCATCCCTAACCCTGAAGCTATCTCCAATCACTAGCTGTTTACAAATGAAAAAGCAGTCTTAGGGGTAGGCTCCATGCTCATAGTAGATGGCCAGCAGCAAATGGACTCAAGGTTCTTTGTCTCATAGTGTTTTTGTCAGAGATTTTTAAATTTTATTTTAATCTTACAGGACCTATATATGAAGAAGACCTCAATCAATGGCATCTTTTGGAGAGTCTTTGTCTCCTATATGAACTCAACAACGTCTTTGGAGGTTCTTTGGCTGTGCTTTCTCATGGCATCCTTAAGAACACTCTAGTACCTGAAAGGCATCCCAGTACTGTCACTGCCTTCTGGATCCTGTTATTTAGAAGATTCTTACTGAGCCAGATATATTCTAGATTCTCAAACCCCACCAGGAAACAAAAAATGATTCCTACTCTCATGGGCACAGCAAATAAATTAACAAAGCAATTGTATATCATTATAGAATGTGCTAAATGTTTTATAAATGCTCACTGTATCAGGCAGGGGATATATCTCCTCATGTTATTAATTCTTGAACCATGGCGTTACTTGGGGGCAGAGTATGTAAGGGTATAAAGAATAAGTGTCTAGTTACTATGACACAACCTGGGCAATGTCTGCATTGACCTTGTCAGTATATTCAGTATAGAAGCCTAAAGGAAACAGGTGGTCCCATAGCCACCTCCAGGGCACCCAAGGTACCTACAAGTGTCAGTTCAGGTATTTCCTCCTTAACAATGCTTCTGAGGATTTAGGGTCCTACCTGCTTTTCTTTTTAAAACATTTGCTCTTTTTATGTTCTTATTGCAAATGAAATACTATGGACATATTTCAGAAAAACTCAGGGAAGCAAAGGCAAAAATGAAAATCACATACATTTCAGTAGCCTAGCTGTTCACTTTGATATATGTCCATTTTTATCTGTTGTATACCTTCAACTTTAAAATGAATCATGAATACAATGCTACTCTACACAATTGAGTATTACCCCAATATTTATTAATAGTTATATTTAATTGGGTATGTAACTTACTGATCTAGTGTCTTATTTGTGGACATTGAGTTATTTTTTAATCTCAGCATCATAAAGGATGCTTTAATAAAAGTGTAATAGGTAAATCATTACACACAATGAAAAATGACCTAGGACAAATCCTAAGAAGTGACATTTCTGAGCCAGAATATCTATGTAACTTTCATTTAATTTATTTCTAGAAATTCCCATATATATAAATTTTCTTTCCATAGAAATATGAAAAAAGCCACCCCAAAATCATTGCCAAGTATTAAATGTACTGAAAGAATGATTTTGTCTATTGAACAAACACAGTAGCAATCACAATAAAAAATGTGACTTGGCATGTCTCTAAATACCAGTAAAGTTAATCTCTTCACCCATTTGGAACTCTGAATTTCTCTTCCTAGTCTGATGAATATTATGCCTCTTGTTCTTGGTGGTCTTGGGAAACTTCCTCAATTATTGGTGCTGGATGTACTCTTCCCACCATGTCAGGGGACACCTGTGTCACCCTGTTATTCTGGTTGATGAAAGTGTAGAAAGGACTTGATTGAAGAACATGGACACCCTGCACGCCACTCTACAAAGCCTAGAATAAAGAAGAATTCTGTCTAGAGACTATAGGAACTCTCTTCTTTTAGGGAAGTTCAGCACACAAGCATATCATTCCTGAGCCTAGAACATCCCCGATTCTCTGAGATAGGAAGAAGTGCAAGCTCATTCTCCCTGTTCAGTTAGAAGGCATCTATAGAACCATGGGGTTACCTTCAGGAGCCCCAGAGACTGTTGTAGGCACTGATCCTTCATTAGCAAGTGCAAACTCACATACCAAGGAAGGTTGACCCTCAGAGAACATGTCCAGCTTCAACCTGGTATAACTTGGGTATTCTCTCTCCTTCCCAGGTGCTCCCAAGACCCAGCAGCAGGGCAGATGCTCTCAGCACTCTTCACCAACAGAAAGGAGACCATTCCTCTCACGTTTTCTGAAGACTGTCTCTACCTGAATATTTACACTCCTGCCGACTTGACAAAGAGCAGCAGGCTGCCGGTAAGCATGGAAACCACTGGTCCAGACGTGTGGGTTCCAGCATCTAACTGTTCTGTGTCACTGGAAGGGGATGAGAGAAGCTGCAGGCAGGAGTACTACAGACAAGGACTGAGTCACAGGCCCAAAGATGTCAGACTTTGATGGCGGTTGCCCTGCATTTGAGATATACATCTTAATCTTCCAAGCTCTCTCACACTAAAAGTAATGTGACTAGTAATAATGATCAGTCTGAATCGTTATGATAAGAATTTGATCTCCAGAGTAGGTGTAGGTTAATTTTCACGAGGCTCAAAGCTGAATGTGAAGAAAAAAATTGATCAGTCCATGTGATCCCTTTGATTTAATTACGTATTCAATATAGTCCTAATACATAGGGGGCTTTGGTAGATACTGTTAGTGTGCAAAGAAAAGAAAATTTTTTGATCTTCAAGAATTTGCAATTCTTGATAAATATGACAATTAAGAAATGATTCGTAATGACAGTCAGATTAATATGTTTCTAATGTTATATTAGAAACAAAACATAATTTTATCATTAAATTTGAGCACATCATTCCTGAGCCTGGAACATCCCAAGGCTCTGAGACAGGAAGAAGTGCAAGCTCGTTCTCCCTGTTTAGAGTTAGAAGACATCTATAGAACCATGGGGTTACCTTCAGGAGCCCCAGAGACTGTCTTAGGCACTGATTCTTCATTGCCTTGTAAGAGTCATCGAATGAGGCAGGAGAGGTGGCTCAGCAGTTCATAGTATGTACTGTTCTTCAGAAGATGTGAAGCAGGAGCCCAGCACCCACCTCAGGAGGCTCACGAAGGCCTGTAACTCCCTCTCTAGACACCTGCGTTTACTCACACAACCCTTCCCTTTACACACACACACACACACACACACATACTCTAGAATGAAATGAGCCTATAAACAATGGAGTGTGTTCCAAACAATTACACAGCTAGAAACAGCAGTCTAGCAGTGAAAATCCTCTTTTTAGTGTGGTTCTAAGTGAGAAAATTAGGATGTTTTCACTCAAAAGCAATGATGAAAATTCAGGTGAAAAAAGTAAAATTTTGGCTAAAGCATACAATGCATAGAGGTGATATTCCAGTACCTTCTACAACATGAGGTGTGAGGCTTCTTTAATGTACTTTGTATCATGTAAGGAATTGTATATATCACACAGCTCTATGCTTTCTGATACAGAAACACAAGCTCTTCATATGATTCGTAATGTGATACACATCAGGCATTTTTCTTAAGTCTCAAAACACCTTTCATGTGATCCCTTTTAAAAATATGTATTGATTGACTGTTTGAGACTTTCATGCATGGATACAATGTATTTTATTGTACTCACACCCAGTCACCCCTTGATGTCTTCTCAAATCCTCTTCCACATCTTGCTCCACCTCATATATAATACATATGAAAAGTGCCCCTCTGTGGGTTCATACCATCACCTGAACAAGAAGACTGTAACAAGTCATGAGTACATTGCACTGAGTCAAATTAGTGCTGTTTGTGTGTTCAACCCATGCAATAGTTACCATAAGAGAAACTGAGGCAGGGAGCTAGTACACACAATGCACAGACCGGGCAATAGCATGGTTCTTTAAACCTGTACTCTTTGATACTGACTTTAGAAATCAGTTGGAATGTCATCTTTGTACCCACAGTACATGTGACAATTTTTGTTGGCCTGTGACAACGCTGTGAGAATAACACCCTGGGGCAATCTCATAAGCACTCTCTTTTGTCTTTTGCCAGTAATGCTGGATTTTTTTAATTTAGATTATTTCCATCAGTAATTGTCTTTAGTTAAGTGCTGAGCTAGAATTTCCCATGTAAATGAAAGGCCAGTGATGGGACAAGCTGCCTTTTGTAGGCCAAAGTTGAGCTGAGCCTAAACTGGAAGGGAGAGAGGGAGAGAAGAATTCCTTCCTGTGGCTGTGTGATGGGTGCTGGTGTCCTTTGGGTGATGCCTTCCTGAGCCACAACTTCAACATCAGTGTCAACACTGAATGAACTCTATGGTCTTCCCCACTTTGCTACCTACGACTTATGTAGTTATTTTCTCCTTGTCCAGGTGATGGTGTGGATCCATGGAGGTGGACTGGTGGATGGGGCATCCACATATGATGGATTGCCCCTCTCAGCTCATGAAAACGTGGTTGTAGTGACCATTCAGTATCGCCTGGGCATCTGGGGCTTCTTCAGGTGAGGTACCCAACATTGTAACTTACACATTAGTCCCTGTGTCAGTCTGTCTTCTGTTACTGTATCAAAAGGCATGGGATGAAGGATTACATAGAATTCTAACTCACCTAGCTTTGAATTTGAGATGCTGCAAGCTCAAGATTGTATGTTTTTTATCAAATGAGACATTGTTGGGAGACTTTGGCTGTGTCACAACATGGTACATAAACAGATATGAAAGCTGAGCAATCAGAAAGGTCACAGTTCACATGGTGGGGTAAGTATCCAAAAGAGGGGACCAATGTTCCTTCAGAAAATTAACTCATTCTCTGGGGCACAATCAGGGTCACAAGAGAACTATATCAATTCCTTTCCAGGACTGCATCTACAGTGACCAAATAACCTTACACTGAGCCTCAACTTTCATAGGTCCCTTCACTGACTAATAATGCTACAACATAGACCAGGACATGGGAACTGAACCTTTGGTAGGCAAGCCATTTGCAAATCCTAATGATCAATACAAATCCTTCTCCAACCTTAGTCAAAGAACCATGTGTCTAGATTAATATTGTTATAGCCATCTCGTCTAGATTTACTATTTTAATACACAGGGCTCAGTATGCTCTGTGAGACATTCCTCTACACAATGTTTCTGTGTTGCTTGTAATGATACTTGTAAAAGTCTTTGCCAGTGCCCATAGCACCATCCCACCTGCTCCCACACCAGCTACACTCACATTTCTGTTCCTGTGGCCCTGGGGCCTTTGTAACTATGCATCTCCTACTGCAGCTCCCTCTTCCAATACTTTCAAGACCACATGCTCATTTTATCCAGATCTCTACTAAATTCCACTGCCTCATGGGGTCTTTTCTGGCTATGCAATCTGAAATACCATGCTACAGTCCCACCCTGCCACCTCATCTCCTATTTTAGACCTAATTTCATTTTTCACACTAGCTTTTCCCATATTCATTTCTTCTATTGGTCTATGGACTTCATCTGGAGTCAGCTGCAGTTAGGGATTTTATATGTTTATTTTCAGATGAGCCTTAGCATTTAGACCTAAGTTGTGTGCACAGAAGGTGGTATCTGAGTACCTAGTACCTGGATTATGAATGCAGGAACCATTATAGAACATCATTGTAGGGTGAGTGGCGGGTGAATGCTCCTGTTGGTAGCATCGAGTCCAGCCTTATTTCAGAGAACACACTAAGAGCTCTAGTTTACCTCTGGTGTTCAGAGCACAGCCATGGCATCTCTGCTCCAACTTACCATTGTCTTACAGCACACAGGATGAACACAGCCGGGGAAACTGGGGTCATTTGGACCAGGTGGCTGCACTGCACTGGGTTCAAGACAACATTGCCAATTTTGGAGGGGACCCAGGCTCTGTGACCATCTTTGGAGAGTCAGCAGGAGGTGCAAGTGTCTCTGTTCTTGTAAGTGTTTCTAACTCCATAGAGCACCAGATAATCCAGGTGAATGGCTGCCTTAAAAAGAGCACATGACAGGGAACCCACAGACACAGCTGACCTGAGAACTTGGAAACTCATGGACTCTGGACCATGAGTTAGGGAGCCTGCATGGGACGGACCATGGCCCTCTGCATGTGACAGTTGTATAGCTTGCACTGTTTGTAAGGCTCCTAGAAGTGAGATCAAGATCTGCCTCTGGCACTTAGTTGGCTTTTGGAAACCTATTTGCTATGCTGGTTTACCTTGCCCAGCCCTGATACAGAGGGAGGAGCTTGGTCCTACCTTAACTCGATGTGCCATGCTTTGTTCAAGCCTATGGGAAATCTGCCCTTTTTTGAATGGTGACAGAAGAAGAGTGGATGGGACAGGAGTAGGTGAGTGGGGTGGGGGAAGAGAGGAGGGCGGGGAAACTGCAGTCAGTATGTAAAATAAATGAAAAAAAAGTTGATTTTTAAAAAAGAGCATTGTGAACCAAGCTTGTAGAAACTTATGAACTCTAGACCTACAACTGTGGAGACTCCAAGGGACCGAACCAGGCCCTCCATATGTGGGAGACAGTAGTGCAGCTTGGACTAGCAAAGGGGCCCCTGGCAGTAGGACCATGATATAAACATGGTACATGAGCTAGCCTGTTGGAGCTCACTCCCAATGATGGGATGCCATGCTCAGTTTTAATGCATGGGAGAGGGGCTTGGCCCTGCCCCAACCTATTGTTAAAGTGAAACACAATAAATGCAGATCACTATGGAGTCAGAGAAATTTTGATGAGCAGATGCTTATTATCAAAGTACTCACGCAACGGAGTCAGTCTGGCACCACCAGGCAGGTCAGTGAACAAAGAGAGCCACCTGCGTGTGACCCTCATATTTAAGGTCTTGCTACATCACTCTGACCATGCCCAAGTGTGCATGGTCTGTGTCACCTGTGCCAGCCCCCAAGAGGGCGTGGCTAACATTTCCCCTACATATTGTGACAGACTATGTTGACTCTTCATGGGAGCCCTTACCCTGGGGGTAGAATGGGAGGAGGTGAGACGGGGTAGGAGGAGGTGTGGGAGGGAGAAATGTGGTTGGAATGTGAAATGAAGTTAAAAAATAAAAAATAATGGCAAAAAGGAGCATGTGAAAGAGCCCTAAGGGCAAGTAAGTTACTGACTTCGTCTGTGTGCGTAAACTTTCGTCCTCCCAGGTGTTATCTCCCCTGGCCAAGAACCTCTTCCACAGGGCCATTTCCCAGAGCAGTGTGATCCTTAATCCTTGCCTGTTTGGAAGAGATGCCAGACCCATAGCTGAGGTATGTGTCACCTTAGCTCCTGAGCCCTTTACTCTGTTCTCCCGAGATCTCAAGGGTCTTTCTTGCTGTGGGATTCAGCTGAGATGCTCAAAGGATCCCGGAAGGAGAGAATGGCTGTGCGGGAAGGGCTACTGTTTTAAGGGACCCACTACACTTCATGTTATTTAGTCCTCCAGCCATTCTGCCCACGTTTTAGTGTATAGAAGACACGGTCCTTTCTCTCCTGTGCCTATCACCTGATCATCACCCTCAATTGCAGGTGGAGAGAGTAAGGCATGAAGAGGTTGAAAGATTTGTCTAAGAAAACAATGTGTCAGAGTTGGGTTCTGAAACCAAATAATGAAATCCAAACAGCCTCTGTAACCACACTTGACTTTGAGAACACGAAGTCCTCCTTGTGTTCCTGGGGATAGAAACTGTATCCATTTGATCGGGCACCAGAGGCATAGAGATTATATAATAAGAACCAGTCCATGTTCTGCTCAGTAACAGGGGTTGTTACACTCTGGGACTCAGCTCCTGGATTTGGGGGTATAGAATACTGTCAGCAGCCATCTGTTGCCTTAGGATTTAGGAAATGGAAGAACCCACTGTCTACATGGAGGGAGAGACTGGATATGCTCTTGACCCCCTGATGTCTTACAGAGAGTGGCTGCTCTTGCTGGCTGTAAAACCACCACCTCAGCTGCCATGGTTCACTGCCTGCGCCAGAAGACAGAGGACGAACTCTTGGAAATCACAAAGAAAATGGTAGGTGTGTCCTGCATAACTGTATAACTGGCTCAAGGTTTCATTTGTTCAACTATGCTCTGGCTTTATATCCCCTTAAACAATTTCTTGCCTCATAGAACTGTCAACCTTCTGTCTACATTGAGATTTTTCATTGCTTTCTTGTTATGAAATACTTCCAATATAAAAAAGTCCAATAATAACATGATTAGAAATTACAGGACAGATTCCCCTGCTTATTAAAGCATAATATTTTGAGAAATGGCATACTGTGTGAGGAACTCACAAGTGAGACATCCCAGACTGACTTACCCTGGAGCTGGGTTCTGGGAGGGGTGCAGTTTATAATAAAACCAGTGAGATGTTAGGGTTTTGGGAGGTGGGAGTGGTCAAATGACCAGTCTGCCCATGGGGACTGTCTGGAGCCAAGAGCACCTTTCACTAGAGAGTGACTGACTCCTTATACTCTAAGTGTGGTCTTCACACCTCCCATTGGTAAGAAAGGACAACTTAACCATATTCTTAACCACAAGTGTAGTTGGTAGTGGATAGAGCTCAAGAATTTGTTGCAGTTAAATGGAAAGCACCATAATGGTTTGTTTGCGTGAGGTTTTCACATTTAGTGATTTTACACTGCAGTGATTTGATTTAGGATCTTCCTGTGTCAAGTGTTAGGCAAGAAGTGGTTGTAGATCAAGAATTTGAGCTGAGTAAAATGAGGAGAATCCGTGTGCATGTGGTATGTTCATTCTCTCCATGTGTTCATAACTTCTGATCACATAACCTTTACATGATGTGTGGGGGCCACTGGGCTGTGTACTCCTTTCTAGCTAGTCTGATTGCTGCACACACCTTACAAGTGGTGTAGATCATGTTTACTTCCATTGTGTTAATGCCATCATAGTTCTTTCGTATACATTGCTGTGTGTGGTGATGCATTAAAATATGTTCTCAAAAAACACCATAATACTTTGTTTTCTAACTTTGTCATTCTTTACATAGATTCGTAGCTGTTTCTTTTAACTTAATTTTCTGCAGTTGCTTCTTTTTTATTTTTATAATTGTAATTAGACCAATTTTAAATAAGAAACAAGCTTCTTTTACATGTCAACCCCAGTTCCCTCTCCCTCCCCTCCTCCCCTGCTCCCCATTGAACCCCTATCCCAACCCCTTTCTGCTCCCCAGGGAGGGTGAGGCCTTCCATGGGGATCTTCAAAGTCTGTCATATCATTTGGAGCAGGGCCTAGGCCATTCCCCATGTGTCTAGGCTGAGAGAGTGACCCTCTATGTGTAGTGGGTGCCTGAAGTCCATTTGTGTACTATCGATAAATACTGATCCACTACCAGAAGGCCCATAGATTGCTCAGACCTCCAAACTGACATCCTTGTTCAGAGGGTCTGGATCACACCTATGCTGGTTTCCCAGCTATCAGTGTGGGGTCCATGAGCTCCCTCTTCTTCAGGTGAGCTGTTTCTGAGGGTCTCTCCAGCCTGGTCTTGACCCATTTGCTCATCACTCCTCCCTCTCTGCAACTGGATTCCAGAGTTCAGCTCTGTATTTAGCTGTGGGTGTCTGGTTATTTCCATCAGCTACTGGATGAAGGCTCTAGGATGGCATATAAGGTAGTCATCAATCTCATTGTCAGAGAAGGGCATTTAAGGTAGCATCTCAACTATTGCTTAGATTGTTAGTTGGGGTAACACTTGTAGATCTCTGGACATTTCCCTAATACCAGAATTCTCTTTAAACCTATAATGGCTCCTTCTATTATGGTATCTCTTTTCTTGCTCTCCTCTATTCTTCCCCTGACTAGATCTTCCTGCTCTTTCATGTCCTCTTCTTCCCCCCTTTTCTCCCCTTCTCTTTTTTTTAGTTCCTTCTCCCCTCCTCCGATGCTCCCAATTAGCTTAGGAGATCTTGTCCCTTTCCCCTTCTCTGGGGGACCATGTATGTCTCTCATAGGGCCCTCCTTGTTTCCTAGCTTCTCTGGCAGTGTGGATTGTAGGCTGGTAATCCTTTGCTGTATGTCTAAAATCCATATATGAGGGAGTCCATACCATTTTTGTCTTTTTGTAACTGGGTTACCTCACTCAGGATGGTTTCTTCGAGTTCCATCCATTTTCTGTGAATTTCAAGATTCCATTGTTTTTTCTGCTGAGTAGTACTCCACTGTGTAAATGTACCACATTTTCTCTATCCATTCTTCAATTGAGGGGCATCTAGGTTGTTGCCAGGTTCTGGCTATAACAAATAATGCTTCTATGAACATTGTTGAACAGATGTCCTTGTTGTATGAATGTGCATCTTTTGGGTATATGCTTAAGAGTGGAATTGCTGGATCTTGTGATAGAATGTTTTCCTTTCTCCACATCCTCTCCAGCATAAACTGTCATTGGTGTTTCTGATTTTAGCCATTCTGACAAGAGTAAGATTTTATCTCAGAGTTGTTTTTATTTGCATTTCCCTGAGGACCAAGGATGTTGAGCACTTTCTTACGTGTATTTAAGCCATTTTAGATTTCTACATTTAGAATTGTCTATTTAGTTCTATATCCCAGATTAGTTGGTGTTTTGGTGGCTAGCTTCTTGAGTCCTTTGTATATTTTGAAGATCAGCCCTCAGTCAGATGTGGGTTTGGTGAATATCTTTTCCCATTATGTGGGCTGCCGTTTTGTTTTGTTGACAAAAGCGTCTCAGTTTCAAGAGGTCCCATTTATTAATTGTGGATCTGAGTGTCTATGCTACTGGTGTTATATTCAGGAAGTGGTCTCCTGTACCAATTCTTTCCAGGATATCACCTACTTTCTCTTTTAAGAGGTTCAGTGTGGCTAGATTTATGCTGAAGTCTGAAACATCATAACATTTTAATGGTATCATTTTCATATTTTTAAGACATACAGTGTTCCCTATTCCCACGTATAACTATCAACCTGAATTTTGGGGGATAAGACATGCAACAGAAGATGTTTAAGGAAAGTGACATAATGTATGTTGGTTGGTGTAGAGACTAAATTCACAGCATACTCGTAATGCAGTTTTCTAGATTTCCCAAGATAATTAAAGTTCTAGGATTTCCATCAATCTCCCTACTAATTCATCTGTGAACTCTCTGTTCATCTTTATAAGTGAATCCTGTTCACCTTTATCATCAGTCTAGTAGAGATCCATATAAAATTTTCAATTAATCCCTTTTCAATCTATTCATTATCCATGAGTCATTCAATCTCTACCTATATAGCTTCATCCAGACCTCCAAAACAATAGCCTGTTCTATACCTACCTCTTATTTTTATCTGCATTTTAAATGAATCTAACTAAATAAACTAATCTTGTATTGGTTAGCTACATTTATACTTCCATCTGCTGTCTGTGTGTCCATCCATTTATGGTCCAAACAGAGGGGACCTGAAGGGAGACATGAGAATATAAACCAAATGCTTTTCTGATCACAAAAAAGAAATTCTCAGTGTGTAATGAGTTTAAAAGTGAGTGTGCAGTTTTGGGGGTTTTCTCATCTCACATTAGAACAGCCTTCAAGGAAAGAAATATGTTGTACAGAATTTTTGCATAATTGAAATGCCCTGGAACAAATGGCTTAGAATGTGGCTGGATTTAGATGCTCTGGATGTACTGTTGGGGATGTAAGTATCTCCATTCCTTAGCTTCCCGTTTTTATTTGAGGTAGGGTGTGGGAACATTATCTGTCAACTAGTTTGCTTAGAAGGTTAAAGGCCTTAGAATTCTAGACTAATACTCTATATGCTTGGGAGGCACCTGTACTAAACAATTAGCAGTAATTCTTAAGGTCCACTCAGTTTTACCAAGAACTCTGATTTACATGAGGCAAACTGTAGAGAGGGGATATGTCAGGAGCAGAAAAACCAACTAGGAAGTTGCATTACTGCATTAATCCAGGCAAGGCATCTGCTGGCCACAATGCTCTGAGTCAAATGCAGTTCCTGGGGCAGAAGTGAAGAGGGAGAAAGGTACAGGTGAAACTGAGGGGAAAATGCTGTTCTGTTGCCCATCCCAGCTGTAGTCTTAGCTTTGCTCTGGGCACTAGGTACCCCCTACCACTGCCTTGACCTGATGACTGTACACTCCAGGGGAGACATCAGCATGCTGATCTGGAAAGAACAGATGAGTGGGAGAGGGGAAGAGATGGTAAGCATAGGCAGAGGCTCTAGGTGTCCTCCCCGTGCTCTGGAGACCCTGAGTGGGCCTGTCTCTTGACTGTAACTGCCCCTCAGCCTGCTGCATCCTCTGCCCAGACCCTGAGGACCCACCATAGGGTCCTCTAATTCTGGGTCCTGCCAGTGAAGAATCAGGAGAAAGAACCTCTTATCTTTGGGTGAAACTCAAAGGATCTAGTTTTGTTTAAGGGAAGTTCCTCACCCAATTTCTCTGACGTTTTCTCCACAGAAGTTTGGTGCTCTTGATTTTCTTGGAGACCCCAGAGAGGTAAGGGCCTTTCCTTTCTATATTATAAACATTGGGTCTGACCAATACTTTCATACATTTAAAAATTATTTTCTTAAGCTCCAAATTTTACTGTGATCTATTTTGAAGGTATATATTTTAAGCAAGGCCCCATTGAACCCCAAGGAAAGAACTGGCCTTTGTAGAAACCTATTGTTCCTTATATGTATTCTGTTCAGGCTCAGAAAGGGAAAGTCACTTGCTTGGGTAATACAGGCATGGCAACCAGGGGCAGGGTGGCCTGGTTCCCAGTTCAGTGCATCTGATCAGCAACTGTGCCCCCTATAATCACCTATCACCCTCCAGCGGACATTTCCTGCTTCTAATATGACACTGTGAGAGAAAGATGTACCAGACCTTTCAAAGGGCTGAGATGACTCGCTTAGAGTCCAGGAGCCTTCACTGAAGAACACAATTTTCATGGGATGACAAAGGCCTGATGCATGAGAGTAGACCAGTGCTGAGAGTACTGCCCTCCTCCCAGCATCCAGAATGCACTAGTGGTGCTCAGTTGCTGGAATTTCTTGTCCCACCAGGTCGCACTGCTGCTTCAGCCCCAAATAAACACACAGAGACACTATAAAGTATTAAACTATTAGCATATGGCTAAGGATTCTTGCTGGCTAGCTCTCTCTTAATTATTAACCCATAATTACTAATCTATGCATTTCTACATGGCCTTATCTTACCTGAGAATGCCTGGCACATCCCAGTCTCTACATGGTATCTCCTTGCAGTGTCTCTCTCTGCCTCCCTTTCCCAGAATCCTCTTCATGCCCTTGTCCCACATCCCCTCCTGCCTCTATTAGCCAAACAGTGTTTTATTCATGAACCAGTAAGAGAAACATATATACAGAAGGACATCCCCCATCAGTGCTCCTCCTATCCCCCTGTCCTTCCACCTCCTAGCACTGACCAGGATCTGGTGACATTAGGTATGTAGCATCTCCAGCCTTGTCTTTTCTGTTCCCTTCCTGGGAAATCCCTGTTCTTACTATGTAGAAGGAAGAGTTTAGGAGCTGGGACATGGCAGTGAAATACACAAGATTTTCTACTTTCTTAGAAACTTTTCTTCTAGTGGGACATGGTATCAGGAAAATAAATTAGTAAATTGGGTTTTGTATCTGGCAGTGGAAGAGGAGAGAGAGTTGGTGAGTGTGTTGTGTAAAGAGCACATGCAGGTTATGGCTTGAAGAGTCAAGTCCTGCTGGAGGGAAACAAAAGCAACTATCTGAAAGCTAGAAACCTTTCCCTATATCTGCAAAGGCCTGCTGCAGAAGGATAGTGTGTTTGAAGTAGAGGAAGTCAGCACAGACAAGCTTGAATCTAGGGAGGTATGAGATGGGGTTGGCTGTTGAAAGACTCAGGTTGTGATTCAGCATGAGAGGGGGTTATCCAAAAGGGTCTGGATGGAGCAGTAACATGTGTTGAGTTTGCAAACATCCCTTTGATTCCTGTGGCAATAGGTTATAGAGGAAAGGCAGGAGAGGCCCTGAGACCTGCTAGTGGCCACTGTGTGACCACAGTATAGGCAAGGGATTCTGGTATATTATCTCAGATCATGGCAGGATGGAAGCAATAAGCAGTAGGTATGGCAGCAGGAGCCTGAAGCTTAGAGTTCACAGCTTGAAATGCAAGCATGAAGTAGATAGTGTTAGAAGTGATGAGGCTTTAAGCTCTCAAATCTCCTTGCAGCTGACGTTCTCCCTTCAGCAAGGCCACAACTTTTAAAGCTCCCTAAACAGTGCCACAAACTGGAGACAAAGTATTCAATTAGAGAACACTTAAACCACCCACACACAATTGTACATCATTTACAAATTATAATATATATAATTACAAATTATATGTAATTTGTATACATATGCAAACTTGCATATAATTTATTACACACACACACACACACACACACACACACACACACACACACCTTACTTTGCTTAAGACCAATACCCATCCCCTGCTAGTAATGTTTTTGGCTCCCCTGTCACAGTTCTGTTTTCAGCAACTCATAGACTCGCCCCAATTTAGGACTCTGACTTCCTGGGGCCACAATCATGTGAGTCTGTGTTCTGGCCAAAGCTTTGATACAAGTAGAAAGTGGATTCTGATGTTACCTGGAGAAGGGTAATCACAGACATTGTGCTTTTCTCTTCCATAGAGCTACCCTTTCCTGCCCACTGTGATTGATGGAGTGGTGCTGCCAAAGACACCAGAAGAGATCCTGGCTGAGAAGAGCTTCAACACTGTCCCCTACATGGTGGGCATCAACAAGCAAGAGTTTGGCTGGAGCATGCCAATGGTGAGAACATACATGTCTCTTAGTGGTACCCATGCAGCCTCAGCCCATTCAACCCACCTTTGTTTCTATGCATTCATTCTAGTCACAGTCTCCAACCAGCCCAGAGAAAGTCACCGCTGTCATGTTTCCATGGAAACATTCTCCAGAATAGCCCAACTGTCCTCTGGGAACGACCCTGGAAAACCTTCTCCCTAAATACTATCTTTCCTTAAGGAATCCTAAAATTGCCAAGCTGGGGGGGGGGTCTGTAGAGATGACAGTGATGCAGATGGACTAACAAGGGGCATCTAGGGAACAGAAGGAGCTGGAAAATCAAGATGAAGCACTGTAGCTTCCACCTTGGACCTGAACTATTGGGTTGTATAGATTTCCATGGGTGTTCCCAGTACTTCATTATTGAGAGCCATAAAAGTCACTTCAGATTGAATTAAAGTTGGCTCTAGAAGGTAAGAAGGATTGGTGTTTTTCCTCTCTCAAAGGAAAACTCAGACATTGACTAAACCAGTAAAATGCATATTATTTCAAAGAGTTTTGCAGTGAGTTCAGATTCCTGAAGGAGATTTCAAGGCTGAGATAAGCTCCGAGAGACACTGTGGTAGCAGTGAATTGGTGTCTGCAGTTACTGAATTTAATTCACAATCAATTACCAGGAACAAATTCCCTTCTCATGTTAGGATGCAAAGATGTAAATTGAAGTATGGGCCTCACCAAATTGAGTTCTACATTTTCCATGGTGACTAAAAAGGAGATCAGGTGTTATCTGTCCAAATGTTCACATTTTCAGAAGGTTAAAGTATTGCAAGCCAATTTTCTCTCAAGTTCTTGAGAAAATACTGTTGCTGAGGAAACTCTGTCTCATGGGGCAGAGAAAGAATTGGTGATCACAAGAGAGGGCTCAGGCCAGTCGACCTATCACTAAGTTCAGGCTAGAGACAGATTAACTCCAGTTGAGTTTCCTGAGCTTTCCCAGGTAGGCACTGAGAAGACACTAGTGTCATGCTAGGGCTCTGGATGGCCTTTAGCTGCTGGAAGCTGTACAAGAATAGGATCAAGTTTATAAGAACAGACATTTGGATAGGATCTAGACACACAGAAGTTTCTGCAGCTCTATCTGCAAAAGAATTGCAGAGGTCATCAATGAAACTCAGACATATGGTTGACTTGACTCTGGCTTCCACAGATACTTGAGATGTAGGTCAAGGATTGTGTCCTTCCAGTACTTCCAACACCATCCTAGCCTGAATACCACTCATTCTCTGAAAGATTATTGTGAGTTTGTATTATATAAATTATATATAGTCTAGATGGATGGCACTCTATAATAGCTAATATACATAATATATGTGATATGTGCATTCTCTTTAAATATGAAATTTCATATCTAACAAGGCCTGGTAAAGGAGCTTACTTCTATATTAGTTTGGTTGTTTGAACTTTTGGTTCCCCCTGTTAATTTCACATGATTCACAAATGTTAATCCTTGCATTTAACAGATGATAGGCTTTCCACTTTCTGAAGACAAACTGGACCAGAAAAGGACCACTTCCCTTCTTTGGCAGTCTTACCCGATCCTTGTAAGAATTTAGCGAATCATGGGACTCGTCTGAGAAACAAAGAATTGTGGGTTCCTGCCTCCAAACACACCAACTCAGTGGCTAAAAGTACTTATATCTGTGTTTCTGCTCCTGTTTTCTGGTTTGCATACTTTAGTACAATGAAAAAAATTCATTTGTCACTTGTTGCTTAAGAATTCCAGTATTTCCAGGATGTATTGTTGAGAAAAAGATTCCTTTTGAAAGCTAGCAAAAGTTGGAGTCTATCCCCAGCAAAGACCAGCATATCTAGGGGTTCTGTGGGTAATTGTTGGGAGGCAAAGCAGACAGGTAGGCACCACAATCTTTACAAATTTGGGGTGCATTGCCTTCTGACACATGGGCTGCTACTTTCTGTAAGTCACTGGATGTTCTGGGCTCTGATAAGCTAAAGAAAAAGTTACTGACAAGCAAATCTCATGAGTCATGTCTTTTCCATCCCCTTTCCTAAAATACTTTTCTCTGATCACTTTCTGGTCCATTTTAGAACATCTCTGAGAGTCTGATTCCAGCAGCCATTGAGAAGTATTTATCAGGGACAGACAACCCCATCAGAAAGAAAGACCTTCTCCTGGACTTAATGGGAGATGTAATGTTTGGTGTACCATCTGTGATTGTGTCTCGTGGCCACAGAGGTGAGTCTCTGGTGTTGTTTGGGAGGAAGATACAGACTCACCAGCTAGGCCTCCAACACATCCACTGCTGAAAGTCAGGCCTCAAAAAATGGTTCCCTATGACCTGCAATCTTTAGTTTCACTTCTGCCAGGAGGAGTCTATGAGAAAAGTGTTTGCAAGCAGTTTAATCTAGGAGATAGTCCCATAGAACATTATAGGGGGTAAAGGAACACTTAACAAAGATAGAAGCCAACCTAGTGACCACCTTAGATATTGCAGCTTATTGATGATTATCGAGTATTGCTTGCTGTGTGCACTCAAAGATGATCCCTAGTCCGTAAGGCTAAGATTTCTTTATTCAGATAAACACCAGCCCAAACGCAAGCCAGAGCATGCCCAGAGGCCGAAAGCTAGTGTGGCCAGAGAGAAGGGGCATCCACGTGTGCGCGGTCCCTTAAGAATTGTCCTAGCATCATCTTTGACCTCCCCTGACCATGCCCTCACAGGGGTGGCCAGGCACACCTGTAGGGGCTACTAGGAGTCAGGGCTACAGTGTGTCCCTACAGCTTATGGTTTTCTTAGGGCTTTTCTTTTTCAGCAGCAAAAGAGCTGCATATACTCACCTCTGATTGGCTAAGAGCTCTTCCACAAGGATTGGTAGGCTTATGACATATTTGCCTGTTGCAAACATGAGCACAGTTGTTTCTAGTGACTGGAAAAAGGCTCAGCAAGTCCTGTTGATGTTTTATGTGGTCATCAGGCTGGCCTGCCCAGAAACATATGCAATTAGTAAGAAGGTATAATTGTTACTTCTCTCACTCCTTAACAAAAAAAGACAACATCAAAACTGCAGGGAAGGAAGCTTTACTTTAGTTCAGAACCTCATAATTTTCAGCCTGTAAAATTATGAGAGAGTTTGAGCACCTCACATCATGGGGACAGATAAGTACTGAAGCTGTGTGGAGCAGCAGACACGGTCCCAGGTTATATATGAGTATAGCCTCAGTGACCTACTTTCTATAAACTGGTCACACCTTGCACAATGTGACTTCCACTCTGTGGTGTACTAGAACTTTGAATGCATCAACAGATAAAATATTAGCCATAATGATCAAATTGTCTCTGGAAACACTCTCATAAACCCAAAAGAGTGATTTACTAGTTTTCTAAGCATTTCTTAACGTAACCAAATTGCTGGGACCAACTATCAACGGCACCGATTGCATCTGCCAAAACTGCTCCTCTGTGAGGTTAAGATGTCTTTCCAGAGTTATTGTCTGAAGTTGCAGTTATCTGTGAGAAACTGCAGGGGTGAAGAAAGTACAGAGAACATAGCACATTGAAATATTTTATAAGAGAGAAACTTCCTATCATTTCTTAAATTGAGAATTGATAAGTCACATTTGCCAACTGATGCTGCACACATTTTATGCTTGATTATGCAATGCCTAATAATTATCAGCGGATTAGCACATTGCTTCAAATAATCGACAATTTCTACAGTGAAAAGACTTGAAATTTCCTCTCAGCTATTTTTAAAATGTATAATTTTATTATTCACTAGTATGGCAGTGTGGGTTAGAAGACTAAAAAGAGAAAGAATTAATTCCTGCCTGATATTTTTATTCCTCTTTTCCTTCATCTTTCTCATTTCTTGACCTCCAACCTCTGAACCCCAAGTTTTGTCTGCGTGCTTCTGAGTAAATCTATATCCCACAATGCCTAGCAACACATGGCACTTATTTAGTTTTCTTTTTAAAATTGTTTTTTATTTAAATTTTAAGAATCTTATTCTACATATCAATCCCAGTTCCCTTTCCCTCCAGTCCTCTCATTCCCCCACCAACACCCCCCCTCACCTGTCCTACCACCATTCACTCCACCCATGGGGGATTATCAAAGGCTGTCACATAATTTGGGGCAAGACCTAGGCCCTTCCATGTGTATCTAGGCTGAGAGAGTATCCCTCCATAGGGAATGGGCTCCCAAAGCCCATTCATGCACTAGAGATAAACACTGGTTCCACTGCCAGAGGCCCCATAGACTTCCCAGGCCTCCCCAACTGACACCTACGTTCAGGGGGCCTAGTTTGGTCCTATGCTCTTTCCCCAGATGTCAGTCTGGCGTCAGTAAGCTCCCACTTGCTCAGGTCAGCTGTTTCTTTGGGTTTCCCTAGAATAGTCTTGACCTCTTTGCTCATCACTCCTCCTTCTCTACAACTGGATTCCAGAAGTTTGGGTCTGTGCTTAGCTGTGGATCTCTGCTTCTGCTTCCATCAGCTACTTGGTGAAGGCTCTATGATGGCATTTAAGATAGTCATCAATCTCATTTTAGAGGAAGGGCATTTAAGGTAGCCTCTCCACTATTGCTTAGTTTCTTAGTTAGGGTCATCCTGTGGATCCCTGAACATTTCCCTAGTGCCAGATTTCTCTTTAAACCTATAGTGGCTTCCTCTATTAAGGTATCTCTTTTCTTGCTCTCCCAACTCGACCTTCCTGATCCCTCATGTTCTCCTCCCTCCTCCCTTTCTCCCCTCCTCTTTCTCCTACCTCCATCCTCCCTCTCCCATGCCCAGCTCAAGGGCATTTATCTTTCTATGCTCAACTATTTAACATGGCTTGATGTTCTCCCATTCACCCCACACCATAAACGTAGCAGTTTCCTTTTTATGGTTAAAGACAAGTCCACTGTCTACACATCTGTGTTTTCCTTGTCATCTGATGATTCCATAGCTTGATTGTAGTTCATGGTGCTGCAATGAACATAGGGTGCAGATATCTCAGAAAACTGCTCCTGAATATTGGAGGTAAACATGTGGTAGTAGCACTGCTGGGCCATATTGTGGCTCTGCTTGCATTCTCTTAGGAGACCCGCATCACTGTTCATCCACCACAAAAGTATTTAAAGGATTCCCTTTTATATACATATAGTTTAGCCATTCTGACGGGAGTAAGATGGTACCTCAGAGTTGTTTTAATTTGCATTTCCCTGATGCCTAAGGATGTTGATCATTTTCTTAAGTTTCTTTCAGCCATTTTAGATTCCTCTATTGAGAACTGTCTATTTAGTTCTGTACCCCACTTTTTAATTGGATTATTTGGTGTTTTGGAGACTAGCTTCTTGATTTCTTTGTAAATTTTGGAGATCAGCCCTCTGTCGGGTATATGGTTAGTGAATTTCTTTTCCCAGTCTGTGGGCTGCCGTTTGTCTTGTTGACTATGTCCTTAGCCTTACAGAAGCTTCTCAGTTTCAGGAGGTCCCATTTATTAATTGTTGATCTCAGTGTCTGTGCTACTGGTGTAATGTTCAGGAAGCGGTCTCCTGTAACAATTCATTTGAGGGTATTTCCTACTTTCTCTTCTAACAAGCTCACTGTGGCTGAATTAATGTTGAGGTCTTTGATGCATTTGGACTTATGTTTTGTGCAAGGTGATAGACATGGATCTAGCTGCAGTCTTCTACACTCCAGCATCCAGTTATGCCAGCACCATTTGCTGAAGATGCTGCCTTTATTCCGTTGTATAGCTTTAGCTTCTTTGTCAAAAATCAGGTGTTTGTAGGTGTGTGTGTGTGTGTGTGTGTGTGTGTGTGTGTGTGTGTGTTAATATCAGGGTTTTCAACTTGATTCCATTGGTCTACCTCTCTATTTTTCCTTCATCATGATTTTTGATTTGGATACTTACAAATATCCAGTAATGAGATAAGAATTTTCACATACCTATTTTCTTTTTTCATTAGAAATTTCAACATTTTAAATTGAAAAAGGATCACATAACTTTCTGCCTCATGAAACCCTTCCCTTCCAGGATTGGGTGTCCTTTGAAGTCCTAGGACACGAAAGTGCAGCTGCTGTGAGCACACAATTACAATGGCTGTGCCATTCCCAGAAGATAGGATTTCACAGCAGTTCTCCCTGTATCAGGGCTCTTGAATGCTTTCTGTCACCTTTTTTTTTATTAGTTCAAATTAGCAACAAGCTTGTTTCACATGTCAATCCCTTCTCCCTCTCCCTCCCCTCACCTACACCCCACCTACCCCACCCTGACCTAACCCCACCCCATCCACCCTCTACTCCCCAGGCAGGGTAGGGCTCTCCACAGGGGCTCCACAAAGTCCAACATATCATCCTGGGCTGGGCCTAGACCCTTCTCCATGTGTCTAGGACAAGAGTGCCTCTCTTCAGTGGGATGGGCTCTCAAAGTCCTTTCTTACACCAGGGAAAAATACTAATCCACCACCAGGGGACCCCTAGAGTGCAGAGGCCTCCTCATTGACATCCATGTTCAGGGTTCTGGATCAGCCCTGTACTGGCCTCCCAGACAGCATCTGTGTTCCCCCTTGTTCAGGCCAGCTGTTTCTGTGGGTTTCCCCAGCCTGGTACCGACCCCTTGGCTCTGCAACTAAGTTCCAGAGCTCAGTTCAGTGTATATCTGTGGATGTCTGCCTCTGCTTCCATCAGCCGCTGGATGAGGGCTCTAGGATGGCCTAAAAAAGTAGTCATCAATCTCATTTTAGGGGAAGGGCGTTTAGGTTATCCTCTCCACCATTGCCTGGATTGTCCATTCATGTCATCCTTGTAGGTCTCTGGAAATCTCCCTAGTGCCAGATCTCTCCTTGGACCTAAAATGGCTCCCTCTAATATGGTATCTCTCATCCTGCTCTCCTCTATTCTTCCCCCAACTCAATATTTCTGCTCCTCCATTTCCTCCTCTCCTCTTCTCCTGCTCTCATTCTAACAGCTCCCTCTCCCCTATCCTCATGCTCCCAATTAGCACAGGAGGTCCATTCCTGGGGTCCATGCATTTATCCCCTAGAGTCCTTCCCATTTTCTAGTTCTGCCCACTTGTCTGGCCATTTTTGCTTTTATATTATTATTTTCAATTTTGTGTTTTCATGGAATTTCTGTGTGAGAACGTGCCTCTGTGCCTGCATGTGTTCCTTGTGCTTTTCCTTTGGATCTTCTTTTTTCCTACTCTTTTGTTTGTTCTGTCCTACTCTGGTTTGTTTGCTCAGTTGCTTGTTTGCTAATGAGGGGGAGAAAAAGATGCTGTGGATTTGACTTGGTGGGGAGGATCAGGGTGGAGTTGTAGGAGGGAAACTGTGATCAGAATATATTGTCCCAAAAACATCTTCAAAAAAAGAACTTGTACTCAGCTAACAATGAAGTTGGAGATGAACTATGAACCATAGTTCATAGTTTATGGTATCATGAAACACAGGAAACTAAAACAGATCATTCTGTCTCATCAAAGATTCTTATTAATGTGTCATCATTTCCTTTGCTCTTCTCTGGAGAGCTGAGAAAAACCCTGGGAATGCCCAGACATAGCCTGGATGAAAGACAGCTGTGAGGCTCTAGATCTTGGAATCGGTGCACGGTGTCCTGACTGACACTCATCTTGTGCAGTCACTGCCTGTGTGAATCCATTCACCATTCATTGAGTAAGCATCGTCTTCAAATCCTGGGTCCACATCTACCAGCTGCGCAGCCTCAGCAAGTCAATGGGCCTTCCTAATCTATTCCCTATGAATCTCAAGAGTGGTTTCAACTGCAGGGCATAAGGCATCAACACCATCCGGGTATGTACCTGGAAATGTGAACTGTGCGTGAATCCATGTCTCCTCAGATGCTGGAGCCCCCACCTATATGTATGAGTTTCAATATCTCCCAAGCTTTGTATCAGACATGAGACCCAAGACTGTGAAAGGAGACCATGGCGATGATCTCTTCTCTGTATGGGGAGCCCCATTTTTAAAAGGTAATGTCTCTCTACCAGCTTGTCCTTGGTGATCTGAGGCCTATGTTTGAGTTTTGGCTTTATGGCCTTGAGGAATTTTTCCTTTTAAACTGGCTTTCCCAACTCTCTGTAACAGGGCTCAGCTATGGGACAGTGCCCAGCCTTTCTGCTTCTTCAGTACATGTGATGGGATTGTGTTAATGTGTCCCCAGCCATAGTCATTCTCAGAATCCTGACACTAATGAGAGAATTGGAAGGCCACTCACGTGATCTACATGATGACAAGAGTGTCAGTATTTGATTTTTTTCCTCCTATAAATATTAGAATATGAGCAAGGAGTTAGAAAATGTTTTAACTTGAATAAGGCTTATGTATCATCAATTTAAATGTGCTTAGTGATACAATGCTTAGGGAACCTTTCACAGAGGTCTTTAATACCTTATTTTCAACAATTGCATATAATGTGTGACCTCTGGCATGTCGCTCATGTCTAAGAATTTTGATTGTTTCCAGATTCTATGAAGAGCTGTATGTGTAGGATGTTGACCACAGACCTAAGGGCCAGCAACTCTGGTAGCAAAATGAGGAAACTGATTTTTGTTGCCATTAGACTCCAAGGGGGATGGATGCCAGGCAGGTTAGCATGAGAGATAAAGGAAGAGAGCATCTGGAATATTCCTCTAAACTTTACATCGAGGGCACACTCACCCAGATCTTTTAAAAAGGCAGGTTTTGCTTAATGAGTGTTTAATAAAGCCAAGGGTGCATTTCTCCCCTTCAATTATTAACCAGGCCTGACCCCATTTGTTTTTCAGAAATCAGGGTAGATCAGACCCTTTCAGGATGATGTGTTCATAAAAAAAAAAAAGACTAAATGTATTAAAGGTGTTTAGATTCTGTTGCTGCTGCTCATTAGCCACATTTTAAGTGGGTAAATTGTTATTTTCACCACAGAGGGTGCTTCAGAAGAGGAGATCAATCTCAGCAAGATGGTGATGAAATTCTGGGGCAACTTTGCTCGGAATGGGTGAGTCTGGTGGCAATGATGCCAGACCTAAAGTGGTGCAGTGGGTCAGACCTACTAGGGAGGAGTAGTTTTCTAGTGATTGAGTGATCATCCTTCTGTCCTGTGGCCTTAACATTCTCATAATGAGAGCTGGGTTAATCTGGTGTGTAGTTGTGGTGATATTTGTGTGATACTTCAGCTTGAGTAGACAACCTGAACTTTGACTCAGACTGAGAGATCTCAAGTTTTGACTATTGTGTCTATTAACTCTTGTGTCAGAACAGAACATCAAGTGGGGAGCATATGTTAGGTCAATATTCCTTACCTCCTGTTGTTTGTAAAGTGGGGGGAAAGGACCAGGATCCTAACACAATCCTCAGAGGCAAGTCTCCCATGATCATCTCCTCCAACAAGTCCTTCTTTATTACGTTTCTGCCACGTTCCTATGGTGCTATCAGGTGGGGATCAAGGCCTCAGTCCATGAGGGGATAATATTAAGTTCTAAATTATAACTTGCCCCATATTAAGTTCTAAATTATAACTTTCTCATGCCCATCTCAAAAAGTCATCCCCACAGATTCCCAACTTCTTACCACTTTTGTTTGTTTGTTTTTGTTTTTTGAGACAGGGTTTTTCTGTGTAGCTTTGGAGCCTATCCTGGCACTTGCTCTGTAGGCTAGGCTGGCCTCAAACTCACAGAAATCCATCTGCCACTGCCTCCCAAGTGCTGGGACTAAAGGTATGCACCACCAATGCCCAGCCTTACCACTTTTAATATTGCTTTGATATTAAAGTCCAAAGACTTCCCAGTCTCGGGTGAACCATTGCTATGAGAATCCACTTAAACAAAGAAGTAACAGATTCCAAGATGCCAAACATTCCTATTCTAAAGGGAGGGACAGAAAAATATCAATGAGAAATCAAACCAAAGCAAGTCCAGAATCCAAAATAGAGAAGAATTTAAATCCTAAATTTCCTTTTTAAACATCCAGCAATCTGTTGACTGACATGAGCTCTGAAAAGCTTGGAAATGCATTCTCCTAAAGTCTTGTTGCCTGTACCCTGTCTTGGCTTCTGTGTATAAATAAATAAAATAATACCCATATTAATATATGGGTATAAAATATGCCCCATAGGCTCATATAGCTGAGTGCTTAATCACCAAGGAATGGAACTCTTTGCTTGGATTAGAAGGATTTGGAGGTGCGGTCTTACTGGAGGAAGCATGTTACTCCTCCAACAAGGTCTTTGAAGTTTCAAAAGCACATGTCAGGCCCAATGTCTCTATGTGTGGATCAGGGTGCAGCTTTTCACCTACCACTCTGGTGCTATTCATGCTGCCATGCTACTGCCATAATAATAGACTAAATCCTTGAAACTATAAAAAAGGCCCCGATTAAATGCGTTATTTCATAAGAGATGATTGGCCATGGTGTCTCTTGCACAGCAATAGAAAAATGACTGAGACAGACTTGCACTGCTCATGTCCTGGATGTTTCCTAGGCAGATGCTCCAAGTCATGGCATTTCTAATTTGCTAGGATCTCCATCAAAATGTCACTTTACTCTCACAGATTCCTGGATCATGCTCTTAGGCTTGCTACCTGGGATATCAAACCACATACTGTGATGTCCTCACATGCTTTCATTTGAAATCTAGGTAGCAACCTTGTGATGCCATCAGCCTTGTATTTTACATATCTACAAAACCAGTGTTATAGGATAATGCCAAGATATAACTGTAACTTGAGATGCAGTTAGATACCATGAGCTATTGGCTGTAAAGCCTCTGGGTATCTGAACACAGGGAAATAAGCCCTAAAGAATCAACTTTTTATACCATACTGTAGACAAAGAGATACCTAATGCTAATACTTCAAGCAATGTCTCAGAACAAGTGATAACCTTGTGATGGGTCATCTTGCAGATTCCTGAGACATCCTCAGATAACTTCTTCTTTATCTTTTAGAAAACTTGCATCTTCCTATGGCACTGATGCTTATTATGAAAAACTAAATCTTTCAAGTCTTTTTGCTGTGATTTTTCCCTTTAATCTCCCTGTAAATGTAATCAAAATCAACAAAAACTACTCTGACATTTCCTGGAAAACTGTGATACTTTTGATCAAGTCCATCAGTTATACAGCCCCCCATCTCTGAAATCAGTGTATCAAAAAAAGCTTTGGGCATGGACAAATGTAGACAGAATGAACACTAATTATCTCTAGTCAAATTTCCCACAGAGGCCCATTCCCATCTGAAATGTTATAACCTTGGCTTCAGTGTCTTCTTTCCATTTAGAACCTACTAAAATCCCTTGCTAACTCTGAGTTCCATAGAGCCCATACTCCAAACTTCTAAATTTCTTCAAAAACCTTTAAAAAGTATTCCGAACCACAACATCCATTTACTCACAGGGTGATCCACATCTCAGGAAGTTTTAGGTGTTATCCTTCAAACACTTTGACAAAATTACTAATGTTCATCATCTTAAAGAATTGAAGTTTAAGCTGGGCGATGGTGGCTCATGCCTTTAATCCCAGCACTCGGGAGGCAGAGGCAGGCAGATCTCTGTGAGTTCGAGGCCAGCCTCGTCTCCAGAGCGAGTGCCAGGATAGACTCCAAAGCTACACAGAGAAACCCTGTCTCGAAAAAACAAACAAACAAAAAAAAGATTGAAGTTTTACTGAGCTCTAAGCTCTGAGTTTCCCATGGACTTTTAAGTCAAACATCATGATAGGGGCACTTGGTAGGAGCACATCAGGAGGCCATGATGTGAAGAGTGAAATCCCAACACTGTTTAAGGCCTTCATGATATGCTTTTTCCAACTATGCTCCACACTCTATTCCACTAGATTCCAGATTGGTATCAGACCATACACATGAGGATTTGAGATTTAACTCATAACAAGATTTGAGACAGAGACAGAGACAGACAGGGAGAGAGAGAGAGCAAGCAAATTGTCTCAGGAGATAGAGACCTGTCCATCTGTGGATGGTTGCTGATGGGGGTTGTACTTCTGTATATATGTTTCTCTTATTGGTTAATGAATAAAACACTCTTTGGTCAATGAGGCAGGAAGATACACGGTACTAAGAGACAAAAGAATTCTGGGAAATGTAGGCAGAATTCTGGTAGGGCCTGCCAGAATAGTCACCATGTAGGCTGCCAAAGGAGTAACAGGTCCGGACTCGTCTCTGGTAAGATAAGACCACGTGGAAATACTTAGATTAATAGAAATGGGTTAATAATTAAGACAGAGCTAGCCAATAAGTAGCCCTAGCCACTGGCCAAAAGTTTTATAATTAATATAAGTCTCTGTGTTCATTTGGGGCTGAAGTGGCAGGGGGACTACCATGTGGAAATACTTAGATTAATAGAAATGGGTTAATAATTAAGACAGAGCTAGTCAATAAGAAGCCCTAGCCACTGGCCAACAGAGTTATCACTAATATAGCGTCCATGTGTTTATATGGGGCTATATAAACAGCAGCAGGAGCAGGCTGGCAGGAAAGAAAATCCAGCAACAAGTTACTGGTTTCTTGGCAGAGATGAGCCAGGGTATTCTTGCACATCTCCAAGAACCATGGAAACAACACAGCTGATTTGTTGACTTTCCCTTTTTATTCTGTTCACAGGAATCCCAATGGGGAAGGGCTGCCCCATTGGCCAGAGTATGACCAGAAGGAAGGCTATCTGCAGATTGGAGTCCCAACACAGGCAGCCCATAGGCTGAAAGACAAGGAAGTGGCCTTTTGGACTGAGCTCAGAGCCAAGGAACCTGCAGAGAGACCAACCCAGAGGAAACACGTTGAGCTTTGATCAGGAGGCACAGCCATGATTGAGAGCCTGGATCCAAGAAAAGGGATATACCACAGAAGTTGTTGCCAAAGTAAAGCATCTTATTGTTGAGGACATATAATCATGTGGCATGCCATACAATAAGGAAAGACATGGAATTGTGTAGCACACTATACAAACACAATAAGGAGAAATGTTTGAGTTTATGCTCTCAATTTTTTTGTTTTTGTTTGTTTGTTTGTTTGTTTTGAGACAGGGTTACTCTGTAGCTTTGGTGCTGTCCTGTAACTCACTCTGTAGACCAGGCTGGCCTCAAACTCACCGAGATCTGCCTGTCTCTGCTGGGATTAAAGGCATTTGTCACTGCTCTCACATTTTAACAACACAAAACCATTCCCCCAGGAAATCAAACCAGAGTGTGTATCTTTGTTTCAAGATGAATCTATGGGCATTAGAAAGGGACATAAGGAGAGAGATCCAGCATCATGAGATGTCACCTCCCCAGGGGATGAATGGATAATTGACTGTCCTGCTGCCTAAAGCAAAGGATCATGCTGTGGAAGAGATGAGATTTTTGTTGTGCCACTTTTTTCCTGGATACACACAAACAAGGTCCACTCATCCCAGAGAGCGCAGGAATGAATGACAGCAGAGAAATGATTCTACCCAAGTGATCACTTGCAAAATTAAGAACAATTTACACAACTGTAAGAGACAGTGGGAATAAAATATACACTACCACTACAAAATGCTAGATTTGGGGCACATAGAGTAGGAATGCAGATAAAAAAGACTGAAAGACAATGGGGCAAACATTAGGTCCTTTATATTCATGACCTACACCTATGGCATATCATGTTCATATGAGAGCACCAGAAGGCTAGAATGTACTCTATAGGCCTGCCAGGTATGGTGAATATGGCCTTTCTGAACTGGCCCTGCTCACTGTCTGTAGCTGTCCTCTGTTATTGGTTCCACATCCTTTCTTTCCTGACCTCCTAGGGTCTCCTTAGCAACTCAGGTTTCACCCTCATAACTTCATTCATGGCCTTCGTATAGGCTGCTGATGGCCATTTGGACCGTGGCATACATTGTCTGTTTTTCCTTTGAAATCCATGTCAAGGCTTCCATGAACAAGCAGTTTGCATTATGTGCCTGCAGAAACACCATCATGGATGATGGCAAAGTCTGTCCCCAAATGGTGGGGTACACAGGCTCTTAGAATACAGTTGTAGGAGACCCTTAGGACCTAGATAGATGTCAGAATGTAGGAAGAATCTCCCATGGCTTGTGTGATAGGACACCATGGATAATTCTCTTCTCAAAGTAAATGTTTTTGTTCTTGAGAGCAATGGGTAGGAACTAAATAATTTCCATGATGCTCTCAAGGTATTTTTCTTTTTCAGATGAAAATTTGTGGCCTATTTTTAAGATTTTAATATGGACATGTACCACAATTTCCTTGTCTCCAACATCAAATGAGTTTTTGCCAGCAAACTGCACATCTTATTGCATATTGATGCTAAGTTTCACTGTAAGCCTAGCGACCAGCATCTACTAATAACCAGCCAGGCCTGAATGCTGTTCTGTTGAAAGTTTCCATCACCAGCTTTATCAAATCCCTTTAAATTCAGTCACAAGCAAAGTCTCATACTGTGAACACTTCCTTGCCAATAAGCAATACATAGAGTAATTAATTAAAAAGTAACCTCTCCTAGGCATTTCCAATGTGTTAATATTAAAACATGGCACAAATGGACTTCTTAGCCTAAAAGGCCCTGTCCCAAATGGCTTGACAGATTTTTGATGATCCCTCATGGAACGCCTCACGCTCCCTGAGGAGTAGATGGGGGAGTGGGATTGGGGTGGTTAGTGAGGGGCATGGGAAGATGGGAGGGAGAGGGAACTGGGATTGATATGTAAAATAAGATCGTTCCTAATTTAAATAAAATTTATTAAAATAGAAAAATATGGTATTATTTACAGAGTTCACACTCTACAACTAGGCTATCAGGCTACCAAAAACAAACAAACAAACAAACAAACAAACAAACAAACAAAAACAAAAATCTCAATGCCTTAAGAAAGCTGAAAATTTTGTTGTGCCATATTCACAGTTATCCTCGGCTAGATACCTGGCACTTCAGTTCCCAGTGGAGTCTCGTTGTCATATGAAACCTAAGGCTCCACAATCTTATCTGCATTCTGGTTCTGCCTGCAACAGCATCTACTCCAAATCTCTAATTGTTTAAAGTCATGTGGACTTTATACAATAGTCATATCAACAGCCCAATGCCTGGTGTGAATGCTTTTAGCCAGATTTTCTGTCACCATGACAAATACATAAAGAACTTAGAAGTAAGGGCTCTTATTTTGATTGATGATTTTTCCATCTCAGTCCATTATGTAGGGAGTGCAAAGCCCTTCTGAGGAGCACATGGCAGTCAGGACCAAGTTGGTTCTTCCTTCTTCCCATTTTATTCCACCTGAGACTCCAGCCTACAGGATGGTTCCACCCACAATCAGGGAGAGTCACTTCCTTTGCAGACCCAGCCAGAAGTGTGCTTTACTAATCTGGTGTCTTCTCAAGCTAATTAAGTTGATAACTGATATTAGCTATCACAACTTTGATTATCTTATATCAGGTGAATGGCTGACAATCATTTTCTACTTTCTGTTCATGGTCTTTGCTGTGTTTTTTTTTTTTTTTCATTAAACTTTTAAAAATTAGAATATAATTACATCACTTCCCCCTTTCCTTTCATTGCTCAAACCCTATCATAACCCCTTCCCTGCAACCCCTCTTCTGCCTCCTTTCCATATTGGTGAATGCCTTTTTTGAATTATTCTCTCTCTCCCTACCCTCCAACTCTCCTGTCCCATTCTCTCTCTCTCCTGATCTCTCAATCTCGTTCTGTGCCTCTCTGTCTCTGTCTCTGTCTCTGTCTCTCCCTCCCTCCCTCTCTCCCTCTCTCTGTCTCTGTCTCTGTCTCTCTCTCTCTCTCTCTCTCTCTCTCTCTCTCTCTCTCTCACACACACACACACACAACCCCCACACATGAGTCCATTTAGGTGTGTCTTGTGTGTATATGATTTGAGACTGACAACTTTCTAATGGATAAGCACTTAGGAATTCATCCCTGGGAGTTCATTCTTTATCTCTTAGCAGTCATTAATTTCTTGTATTTCTTTCTCTAGAGCTGGAGGCCTTTGACTTCCCCCTTCCAGGTTAGCACATCTATTGCTAGTATCATTGTTCAGGCCTCCTTTTAGCACCCATATTGTTGAGGTATCATGGGTACTTCCCTGTTGTTTCTAAGAGAGGCAACTTCTCAGCAGACTCCCTGGTCCTCTGGCTCTGCCAGTCATTCTGCCTCCTCTTCCTGGTGGTTCCTGGGCCTTAGGTATAGGAGTTGTTTAGTATCTGCTGGTTCTATATTTTATTGTACACACCTTTGCAATTTGATATAAACTTGTGTGCCAATTCTTGCTTTTATTTCCCAAGTACTATTTAAGAAATATTTTTAGACAGACCTGATGTATCTTCCCCATGTCTTCACTTGCAGTTTTATATATTTCAGTAGAACTATTCTTCTATATAAATGGGGCAGACAACTAATTTCTACCTCCTAAATACAAATAGCCATTTTCTCCAGAACCACTTGAAGATTTTCTTTCTCCATTGTATGTTTTTGTGCTTTGTCAAGAATTGATTGTCTGTAGCAGTTTGGAATTTTTTCAGGGTCCTCCCATTCTATTCCCTGGGTCTAGGCATCAATTTTGATGTCAGTACTAAGGCTCTATGGTGTTTGAAAATCATGCTTTGTCATGTCTCTAGCATTCCTGTTTTTACTTTGTTGCTTTGTCCATTCAGTGTCTCTTATATTTTTTATGAACTTCAGAATTTCTCTTTGTAGATCCATGAATAATGTCATATGGATTTTGTTGGGTATTACTTTGGATCTGTATATTTCTTTCTGCATTGTGTGGCCATTCAAACAATATAAATTTTCTCTGTGAACATTGGCGGTCTTTGCATTTTCGAATGTGTCCTTTAATTTCCTTCTTGAGTGGCTTATAATTCTCTCAACTTCAAGGTTAAATTTATTCCCAGGTTGCTTTGCCAGGAACTCTACAGACTTTTTATGTTATTCTGTGTCATGGAGATTCTATAAAGCTGAAGGACCTTTAGGTTGCTCTCCGTTCCCTGGGGTCCTTGTTCCACCAACAGCTTCTTTCTGATCAGTCCTTGGGTGATCTCCTCCTGTGCTTTGTGCCCCTCAAGATGAGCACATGTGTTCATGGAAAGAGTAACTCTCTGAGCACATGTGTTCATGGAAAGAGGAGCTCTCCTTGTGGTTCTTATCCATATATAAAGGACTCTGTCACTCAGCCTTAGACAAGACTGATGCCAGGGGGAATGCCCCCTGATCTACAACACACAACGAAGAGAAATGCAGAGACAGTTTGTGGGAACTCACTGAGGACTCTAGACCTACAGCTGAGGAGTCTGCATTGGCGATAGTTGTGTGGCTTGGGCAGTTTGAGGGGCCCCTGGCAGTGGGACTAGGGTCTATCCTTGGTACAAAAGCTGGCTTTTTGGAGTACATTCCCTATGATGTGATGCCTTGCTCAATCTTGATGAAGGAGGAGGGGGTTTGGTAGTACCTCAGCTTAATATGTCAGGCTTTGTTTACTCCCCATGGGAGGCCTTAGCCTGTCTGAGCAGTGGATGAGGAAGGTTTGGCAGTGGAAAGTGTTGGGGAAGTGAGAGGGGGAGAGGGAGGGGGAACTGTGGTTGGTATGTAAAATGAATAAAAATTTTTTAAATAGAGCCTAGAAGGTGTAAACAAAAACAAACTCCATCTAAAGAGCTGAATATCAGCAGAAGGCATTCTCTGAAGCCCTCGGAGAAGATGACACTGATGATGACCCTTGTTGCCTAACTGTCCGTCACAGTGATGGAGAAGAAAAAAGATGGTCACACTTTACTAAATGACTATCAGTGATTCAATTTCTATACCAAATACATTATTTTTGGATATATCCTTTTGTAAACAAGACATCATTTTGTATATTATGGTTTTCTTTATTTTTTACCAGTATTTTGGTTTTGAAAAAATGACACATTTCCAATGCCATCCTCCAATTTATTGTAATTAATATATCTTTCCCATTTACGGGAATAGTATTAAAGCTCCTTATTGAAGTAACATGTTATAGTAAAAAGACTCAATGCATTAACAGGACACTAATAGTACAGATGATGTGTTCATCGGGATCAACCTTTAAATAAAAACAGAGGGAGAGAGATGCTTAAAGAATGTTGGCTTTTATTTGGGATTAAACATGGGACATTGTGATGTAGAATAAGAACATAAAAAAATGTCATGGTGAAGGCTAGCTAAGACAAGCTTAAAGGCACAACCAACCAGATTACTGTTAACATGCTGTTTTAAAACACCTTTCATTGACTCCAGGGATCAGTAACAGGAGCTCCAAAGGTAACACTGGTCCATGTTTGAGTGGATGTTCCCAGACTAGCATCCTCTTGGAATTCTTTTGCCTGTAACTGTAGCATTTGCACAAGGCTGTTGTTTTGACAGACTCACTTGCAATGCTTTTTGGTATCAGGTAAAATTGAACTTCATTCCCTTCTTAAAATCCCACTGACTTTGCTTTGTGTTAAGGCTTGACACAAGTGACTGAATTTAGGTACAGGTAGCTTTCACAATGACCACAATGTGACAATATGAGAAAAGTGGAGACTCCAGAAGCATGGCAATGTACTCTTCACTGGAAGATGTTATTGTACACTAGATTGAATGAGTGACAAGCCACAGTTGGGAGTGTATGAAGCAGCGCCTTCCTCATACCTCTGTCCTCATACCGTATTTTCAGAAAAGGTCTACAAAGGTAGTCTCCCTGTGTCTTCTGACTCCCCAGGCTAGTGTTCTCCACATGGCCTAGCCCTGATGAGCCCCAGGCCTTGTAAGTAAAGCTATGTGTAGGATGTAGTAGTACATAACTTGCTCATGTTTGAGCCTTAGTCTTAAGGGCATACCACTAATATGTTGTATAAAGTAGTGGGTATAGGGAGGCTTATGGAGTTAATCTGCAGGCAGCAAAGATAGCTGCTTTGCCATGTAATGCCAACTTTTTGAAACTTAAGGCCACTTCCTAGGATTTTACTCATCCTGTCACATATTCAGAAAGATTCCACATAGGGGAAAGCATCTCCATCACCTGACACATAAGCCTAAAGATGTGACACCTACAGTTATAGTGACATAGGGGAAGTAGACTTGTTAGCCGCCTGGCCTGAGGTCTGGTGTGAGGCTTCATAGGCCCCAAATTCACCATCACTCCTACAAGGTGACTATGGGCCAGCAAGTGCTTTAAAGGCTACAACCAGGTTCGGAAAAGTTCCAGGTGTGGCTTCTTGCTTAATAGGATGGCATTGCAAGTGGTCTAGTGGCTCAACAGTGGATGGGAAATAATTCATTCTTCTTAGTTCCAAAGTCATGTTTTATATATGTTGATGGGTGTTTTCTTGAAAATGTGTCATACAATGTCATGGGCTGGGTGTCAAGGCTGTCAGGCAGGTTTCAAGATAGTTAGTGGGGAGAAAGTATGTCTTTGTACTCAGTAATTGGGAACAGCTTTATTGTCTTGTTAGAAGGAATACCCAGATTGGCCTACATGGGTAGAGATAGG